TCAAAAGTTTTAAGCCATAAATTGTGCTGTTCAATATGGTTACAAGATTTTTAAGATTACTTTCTGCTGCGGCGGCCACTCTGGCCCAGGCAATGTTTACCTTTTCAGGAAGACTGTTTTCGGGTTTATTTGCAAAAAAATCCACATATGATTTCAAAATTAGGTTTATTTTGTGTTTTCTAAGTGAAAGGGTAGATATAAACAAATACTCTTATATCATTATGGCAACTTGTTGAATTAACAGTCCCCTACTTTGGCAACCCCCTATATATGCCAACTTGTGGTAGACATTCTAGATGAAAGGAGTAAAAAATCTTATGATCACTCTCCATATCAAGTTTTTTTTCATGACAAGACCTTCCCTTTAACGTTCATCAGCAAATCAGACTTTTATTTACGGACGACATCAGGATGTTGTAGGAAGGGGGCGTGGCTGAATCAGAATTGAAGATGACCTCTTTTACCACGTTGAATGTTACGATAAAAAATTAACAGAATATGTTTTCATAAACGAAATTTTTGTGAATAAGCCCGAAAACATTCTTCCTAAAAATATAAATATTCTCTAAACCAGAATGCCCTTATCAACTCCACGGTTAAAAAATTATTTTAAAAATCTTAAAACCCGTGTTAAAACAATAATTATGGCTTAAAACCTTCTAAATGCATACGGCAAGCTGACAAAATATAAGTTACTTATCTAAATTAAATAGATTTTCTAAAATTTTGGGTTTCGTTCGCCAGCTTCGGAATTTCCCGTACTGAGCCCTTATTCGGAATCGCCTTCTTGCCCTTTTACCGCATGAGTGATTTTGCCTCATTCGATGACAATAGAGTTAGACATCTAGCGACTTCCTCGCTTATATGTCATTGGTTACAGCATGGTTCTCTATCACCACATAATTAACTAATTATTCTAATTTATGCAATATTACATCTCGGATAGTAACAAGTACAAGTGCTTTGTGCCATTCTAGGGTCAGAGGAACTAGGGCTGGGGGCTAGGGACCTAACTTGTGTCAACGCTGTTTCTAGGCTTCAAGAAGAGCAGCGCCTGCAAACAGGAAACAACGGTTTTACCTCGATATAAAGCTGCACTCTCCGAAAGTGTATCGTGCTCGTGTTATTGTGAAAACTGTTCATTGTCAACAATTATTGTTGCGTCGAATGAATGCCAACAACTGCGGAATCGGCTTCCTTGGGTTGGAATAGAAAACTGTGTTTCAGCTAAATGGCAGCAGCATTGAGTTTCGTCCTGTCTCTCTTCCTCTTATCTTACATTGAAGTTCTACTGGGAAAGCATTTGGTTGATTTGTCTTATACTTACAATAATCAAACGTTAAACTGGCCAACTGAAAGGAAAGAACGTTTTCGCTTTACGAAAAGAGAAAAATATGACTCGCCACACTACGAAGCGAATAGTTTCTCCGTCGCAGAACACACGGGAACTCACATCGATGCCCCAAGACACTTTGTGGCAGGAGGATACGGTGTTGCTCGTATTCCCCTCTCCAGGTTGATTGGCCTATCTGTTGTTATCAATGTAACGGAACAAGCCAGACTTAATAGCGATCTTCAGATCGGCGAAGTTCATTTCCGCGAACATGAAAAGAAATTCGGACGAATTCCAGATGATTCTATCGTTTTACTTTACACAGGTGGGTAGAAGCTCAGGGGTGTAAACTAAGCCTAATTTTTGACGGGGACGTGCCATTTTGGTTAAAAATTTGGACCCATAATTCCGCAAATGTCTGAAAAAATGTGACCCATTATTCCGCAAGCATAATGAAAACTATACCCATAATTCTGCAAAGCAAATAAAAACTTTAAAGCACATAAAAATCATTAAACAAATTTTGCATGGCCTTTGCCCCAAAATCTCAATATTACACATATTTCATAGTTTTATTTCATTTTGTTAATGCTAAATATCCCTCCTAATAATTTTGCAATATTTTCCCAAAATGGTACTCATAATTCTGCATGTTTCTTCAAAGGGTACCCATAGTTCCGCACATATTTAAAAAAGTGATACCGATAATTCCACACTTTTCAGAAAAAGGTACCCCTAAATAATGGTAGGTCCCTGTAACTTCAAACATGTTAAGGTACCCTTCCCCCCCCCCTGAGGGTAGAAGCTGGTAAAAATTGTAAACTGGTAAAAAAAAATTCTCATGGCCCTTTAAGAATAAATAAGTTTAGTTGCCATGGTGATCTCGGCTAGGAGTCTATCTGCGCATGCCCTTTGGCCTCTTAACGGCCTTGCTATCGGTAGCTCACAGACACGAAGAAAGAATGCGTTCTAACTTTTTTCCAGATTCTTGATTTTCCAATGCTTGTATTATGTACCTCGAACTATGTTTCTATCTTCATATGTCATGCTGTGAAATATTTGACCCACGTTACACAAAAAATCTGTTTCCATATTTTTATCTTCGAGGCTCGTGTTACTTAACTACAAGAGAATTGAGATCATATTTCAAAGGTCGAGGTTTCGTTTGCGAACGCTCAGTAACGGCGGCTGGAGGGCAATGGTGGCCCTAAAAACCACTTAAATAGAAGATAATCCAAGGATACACTCCTTTTTTATAAGAAACTGGCTATACGAAACGAGTACTGGACAGTCAGAAAAAATTAAGAAACTTCAGTACTCGAAGCAAAAAAGTTAAGAAACTATTAAATCGTGATAAAATTGAGAACAACGAAATTTGGTAAATTCTAAGAACATGATTGCTCTGTTGGCCAAGAACTTAAGACACAAGGGAAAAAATATACTTCCTACATCTAAATACAGTATCAGAACGGACGCGAATCTCTTGATGTGATTAAAAATGGTCACGAACATTTCATAACATCATTCATGGCATCATAATTAATATACTCTTAAGAAACAATGAGTATTGAAATTTCCAGAACATTAAGAAACTGGAGTACTCAACATCGACCTTTGTTTCTTATAAAAAAATTGAGTGTACCCATAAACGCTGCATCATTTTACTTTCGGTTGGTTGGTAACTTTGACCCCATCCCTGCTACCCGAGACCACCTTCAACAGCTATGATCTTCTTGGCTGAGAGACCTGGGGTCCCGGTAGAGTTAGATCAAAACTGCCAAATACATAGAGATGCATTTCTAGTGATTTTTTATGTTTTGCAAACAGCAATTCTTACCTTAAAGTAATAAAATATGTAAAATTGTATTTTGACGATAATTTTTCTGCTATACTCTGTTCTGATCGGTAATCTGTAGTAGAGCTTTGATGCTATGTTGGCAATGTTATGTTGTCGATGCGATGGATACATGGTGCTTGCTAAGGTATTCTTTGTGAGTTTTCCTGGCAACCTTGGACGAGAGACGATAAAGTGGGATTATACCTCCCAGCTTTTGTTGTATAAATCTCCAAAGCAGCATATTTTGTATATTGGCATCAGTGCAGGACACATCAGGCTCCATTCCCAACATTTTTTTCCACGAGGTTCTGAATTTGGGCGTTACCCTTCCCTAACTAACGCGATCATCTACTTATCTTGACGATTTTTTCAAGGAAACATGATTATGATCAAGATACCATGGATCATGGAGCAGTGTGGGCTTGGTAGGCTAACACCCTTCAAAGCCAAGGAATGTCTACAATATCTGGACAACGTATTGCAAATATGACGAAAAATGGTTTTAACCTTGCGAATAAAGGTCAGATGCATTGTCCAAAACCTGAAGCCAGTTGTTCGAGTTTAAACTGTCTGATGGATAAGAACATTGCACCGCGCCAGATGCCGCACCCTCTGTAGCTTTCATCATCATTATCTTATTGATATTTAAACCAACAAGGGACAACTTTGATTCCAGAGCCGGTCAAAGCGAGCAGCGTATTCAGCTAAGGCTGGAAGGTCCAATTGTTGATATTAGCCAAATCATTGAGAGGACAGCACAGCAAGAAATTGGCCACGCTTTAAAAAACGGGCACTTAGTCCTGAAGAGAGGTGTCTCTCTGTCAAAAAGAGAGACATTTTCAACATTATTTTGACAAAGAGGAAAGGGCATATTTTCTCTTGCAAACGCATCTTCGATGTATGATATGGGGGTATGGAATATGATGCATCCGAAAGCTACTTCATGATGGTTATCCTTAATGAAAATATTGTTATTTTTTATTTGGATGCTTCGATGTTGAAGCATGTGAACTGGCATGCATTCGAATCTCGAATACGCTTCAGAAATCAAAATCGTTTATAAAATTTTAACCAATCAAATTGCTTTAATATTATTCTACTATTTTTAAAGAAATAATTCTAGCAATTTACGAAATACCTATTGAAATACATATTGAAATACATATAGTATATACTCAGTTGTGGATCAAAATAGGCCAGTCAAAAAGGCGAGCACAGATATATTTCCTAGCGTAGTGTTTTAGTTCTTTGTTCTGACATTTTATACTGTGAACAGTGTCAGACAAAAAGTATGCTCTAAAATACTAAATTCAGTTAATTTCTTGAGCTGATGCTAAACACTACTTTGAGTGAATTAATTATGGTGTTAGCTTGCATTGACAATGATGTCGTCTCCCTCTGTTCCAAGTGTTGTACACTTGCCCCTGACTTTTATACACAGCATACCAGTAAACATTACCATACAGCTGTTACATTAGTACCGTAGAGTGGTGCAGTAGAGAGGGTGGGGGGGGGGGGGGTTCAGAGGGGCTCAGCCCACCCTGTTAATATTCAGCGAGATTTTTTTTGGGGGGGGACTTTCATTTGGTTAGACGAAATTTGTATTTGCAGTTTTTTATTGGTCGAATGATTCCTATACACAACGGAGAGTCTTTATCATAAATGCAAGTACATTGGGTTTGGTAAGGGTGTGGTCATGGGCATGGCCTCTTGAATTTACCTACAGCACAGCCCCTTCCCTAACATTTTAGGACGGCATCCCTGGTACTGTACGATTACAGAGTTTCTTTAATCAAGGAAATTTCTGATAAGGGCAAATTGAATTTTCAGGATTTGGAAAATTTTGGCCAAATGCAGCTTTGTACTTTGGAACAGCAACAAACAATACAGATTTACTGCATTTTCCCGGTCTGGATCCCAGCGGAGCAACTTGGCTGTTGAATAATCGCAAGGTTAGTTAAACTTTGTTGCTATCTATGTCCATTCTTAGGGAGAGAGAGATCTGGCGATATCAGGGCCTTTGCCATCCTTTACTTGCCGACAGATCTGAAAATTTTCCGACAAAGGACCCCAAAAGGGCCAAAAGGCAAAAGACTCCTCGCTTTTGAAATTGAAATTTTTTCTAGCGAGTGTCAGACCCAAACCCCCCAACCTTGACTAAAATGGCCAATGCCTTCAACAGCTCCCGTAAACATAGACGCTTTGTCAAACAGAAATCTTGCTTTCTATTTGTTCTGAATATTATTTTCTTTGTTTTTTTGGACAGTTAACAATATTTTACCCTGCAAGGCCGTTTTGATAGAGAACTCAGTTTTATCTCACACAACCCTCCTCCAGACGTCGGTTTGCCTCGGCAAACCCCTTCCGTGGTCGAAAAATCTTCAAATCTCCTCTGCAACGAGAATTTATTGCCCCATCTAAAGAGAACATTTTATCAGCACAATTCTTATTCTACATTCCCCTTAATACACTGCGAAATTCACTTACGACGACCCCCTGATTCTTTTCCCTCAATTTTTCAACAGATAAAATCGATAGGCATTGACACAGCATCCATCGATTACGGCCAATCAAAGGACTACCAGTCACACAGAATCTTGTTCGCACAGAATGTTCCAGCATTTGAAAACGTTGCCAACTTGGATAAAGTGCCAGCCAAAGGGGCCATGGTATATGCATTACCCATGAAAATTGGAGAAGGTACAGGGGGGCCTCTTCGAATCGTAGCCACTTGGGATGACAATCAAACGAGTGCTGGACCGATTCTGTCATGTTCACTCGCCATTCTGCTGCTTGCCATTATGTCCACATTTATAGTAATCTAGAAAGGATAACTACTCATCATAAATGCACCAATTTCACATAATTTTTATCGACACGTTTTATTTTTGGATTTCACTTTGTTATCATTGTTGCTATACCATCGCTTTAATTTTCTTCGAGTCTAAGTAATTATAGCACTACCTATAACCGCGACTTTTAAACGTATCACTTTTCGAAGGAAGATGTTTCCAGAGAAGTTTTCTTATGGCAAAATGCAGAGACTTAAGATATGCTTAGGAATGGGTTTTTCTCAGTAAGGCAGTTATGAGTAAACTTCTCTCAAGAGCTCATTCGATATAATTCTTTACTTAGGGCAACCAGTTTTAGATTTATTGTGGTTCCTGGTTCCCAAAATTCCAATCCTATTAATTGTACCAAGTCCAATAAGATGAGATCGCCATTTTTGTTGGAAGCTAACAGCTTTTCACACAACCATATTTACAGTTATTGCATTTTAGTATGGGAAGTTTCTGCAGGTTTTGTAGTGATCTATTGCTTCCTTTTTTGCTTGCTTGCTAAATGCTTTTAAGTCTTGAATATTTCTTAAATCTTTTTTTACATCTTCTACATATTCAATCATATCTTTTAATCACAAAGGTGAAATTTCTAAGTAGTAATCTGCCTAGGGATCTTTAATTTGGGGGGAGGGGCGTTGGTCGGCATCTGGAATTTACGGCCATGTTGTAGGCCAGAGTGATTTATTACCCTGTTAAGTAGTTTAATACACTGGCAGCATCATTTCATAAATATGACTTCAGTGATGGAAGATAGAAGGTAAACGTAGCAGAGGAAAACCAAGGTGAACGTACGTCAGCAACCTGAGCAGAAGTGTTGGTTTGGGTCGCGGTTTGGGTTAGGTGATGTCGAGCTTTTGCTGACCACAAAGAACCATGATCGCCAACGTCCATTTCGGATAAGGTACCCACAGAGAAACGGAGATTTCAGTGCCTCTTTTGAAACTGTATTTAGCAACGCTTCCTTTAAGATGACGGCACATGATGCAAGATATAATTCTGTTACTTTCAATTAATTCTATTTGAAAACAGAATTCATTTTAACAACCTTAATCCTGTTTTCATGAAAGACTATTTTGTACCCAAAACAACAGGTCATAACCTTCGACTCAAAAACCCCCTTGACATTCCAAAAGCCAGAACTACCAATAATGGTATCAGATCATTAAGTTTTCAAGGGCCTATAATCTGGAATTCACTCCCGGAATCAATAAAGACAGCACAAAACACTAGACAATTTAAGAATTTGATCAAAACTTGGTTTCTTGAAAACAAGTGCGCATGCTCACTAGTGTATATTCACTATTGTATAAACCAACGTTAAATAATTTACAATACAATTACTTTATGAAGCTCCCTAGACCGCCGAGGGGGATAAGAGCCTCATTCTCCTCTTTCTTCCCTCTACTGCTTACCCAGGGGTGCAGATTTTTCCGGTGGCCCCTAGAAATCCTACAGATTTGTGCCTTAAAAATTTCTTGGACTTTGGCATATATGGGTCTCTTAGACATAAACTGGGATACGATTGCATCCAGTTTTTCATCTAGGAGTTTCTTCTTTGGTGCTAGAGATACCTGCAAAGACGTAGGAACTGGGAGGCTCGGGAAACACGCGCCCCCAAAGTTTCAGAAACAGAGGCAAAAACAGCTCACGGAGATGCCCCCTTTTTAGCCTACATGTGCCCCTCCTCTTTTGAAATACTTCCTACATCTTTGAACCCCCAGGAAGTCCTACAGTGTTATTTGAAATAACTTATTTGTTGGGAGTGGGGAGACGAAACTTTCTTTTTCGGTTGATTTGTTGGCTTTTGAAAATTTTGCACTATTTGCACATGCACAGCGAAAATGATTAATCGATGCTGCTCGAGAACTTTGTCGATTTGTTTCCAAGACTGGTTATGTGATTACCAAAAAATTTCGAAATTATACAATTGGATGAAGTTGAAGATAGAGCAGGCTGATGCAACAGATAACTAAACACTGTTGTTTATGGTTTTTCAACTGTGCACATAAAGTTCTGAATAAGCACAATTTGAACTGCGTAGTGTACTCCAAGTCCATACAGTATACAGATGAGAGATAATTCGAGCGGTCAAACAAACAGCAACTTGTGTATTTCTAAACGTTTTTTTTATATTTCCATTAAAAAGTTACAATACATAAATACAAGCTACGCAAATTTACTTTACAATACTACTCGGACGATACCCCGAGGAGCTATGACTACCCGGGGGCCATAGACACAGTTAAAATAAACTACTATAGTCTGTCTGTTTACATACCACGAGAATGTCTGCGATGAATTCAAATTTAAGAAGGGAGGTTTAGGTATCATCGCAACTACTGCGTGGCATCCAATTTGAGGCAGACTTTTAAAAATACGCGACTAAAAAAAAGATAGGAAGAAAGAAAGGAACATGGGAAATGGGAGATGGTGGCTGTGGTTTTATGACTTATAACGGAGTTTAAAATTTTCTAATCAAATCAAATCAAATCGACCAGATTTGTGGATGAATTTAAGCGTCAGAAGGAGTATATCTTTATTAACTTCATCTGGGAAATTTTTGTCACCATACAATAAAATCTGCATTAGAAGACTATTTTGGAGGTCGGTATGTCCATATGGTCGTATTAAAGCAGAAACTCCAGCGAGAAGGTCTCTACGTGGTAGTACTGCAAGGGAAGGGAAAAGCAACAAAAAGTGTTCCGTATCCTCAATACCATCGTTTCTAAATGTTATAATAAATCCAACAAACGTAAACTCCTGAAAGAGGATACGGAATTGCTCAACACACTTCTTTATCATAACAATATCATCTTAACAATATAGTCTATAAGAATACTGAGGCTCAAAATCACTGAAATTTAAGCATAATTTTAGAATAGTGCTCAAGCTTCACCATAAATTTTGTTCATTTGAGTGACACAAATCTTCAGAAAACAAAACAAATGTGAGTTTCAGGCTATATTTTTTGAATAGACGTATCTGGCCTTGCAGTCATTAAGACTATAATGCAACCTGGTTATACTTCATGTCGCTTAAGAATTACGCAAGAACATTCGTAGGCTCAAATTAAAAAACTTTAATTATTGAGGCTCACTAAAAAATGAGGTATTCTTTTAAAAAGGTGGGTAACTGGTCGCATAGACGTGAATTAGGGTAACTTCAGTTGTACTGTGGAAATAGGAAACTTCAGGAAAAGGAATTAAAATTTAGCCAATCAAATTATTAAAAGCAGTAAAAGTGTGTATGAGAAAATATAAGAAAGCTCATTAGTCAGCGTACAGTCAAGGGTTTAAAGCTTATATGTTGTTACGTAAAAGAACGCGAAAATAATTTATCATTATCAAGGCGGAATGTTGTGACGCAGAGAAGAAAAAATTGAGGTTGAAAAAGGTTAAACGTGACAAGACTATCAATTTTTCTGACGTTTGCAAGGATAGCAGTATCATTCAATTAGTTTCTCAGGTTTTATTTTTCTTGTTGGCAAATAATTTGAAGAAGTTCAATGCTTGTGATTATGAAAATTATTTCTCCAGGGCATTTTTTAAGAATTTTCCACTGGTGGGGCATTTGAGAAAAGGGCATATAGATAAAGGCAGAATTTACAGATAAACAGGCTTTCAAAAATATTCTAGGGGAATCGCCTATAGAAGCAGCAGTTCCAGGGAAAAATGAATTGAGATTTGAAACCTGTTCAATGAAGATTTCATCCACAAATATCTCAAATAAAGTAAAAAGTAAAAAGGTCACCGAATTATAAGGGCACTTAAGTGGTGGGGCAAACATGTTCCACTGGTGGGGCAATGAAAGGGGCTGGTGAGAAATTTCCCCACCACTTTATATGTTAAAAAATGCCCTGTATTTCTCGGCAAATCGCTAATCACCTTGTCATTTTCTTAATAACAGTCCGAACAAATCAACAAAGTGTGTTGCAGTAAGGCAATCAACAATCAATACAAAATTTTGTATTTTATAATTTTATGAATAAAAATATGTGGTATACATACATTGAACGCTCATTTTAAACACACTCTGACTTCATTAAACCATAAGCAATTAGTTTTTAGTTATCGGTCCCTTTAGAAAAAATAGATACAAAAGATATGTGTAAACGTTCCAAGTCAATTAACCAACCGGCAAATACAAAAGATATTACCAACAATAAATGTGTTAACGATTAAACCTATGTAGAGCTATTACGAAACAAAAGAAATTGTAAGAATATTGGAAACACGACCTTGATTAATAACACGCTGGTTAATTACGCAAGTAAACCACGAAAAAGGCATTTGCGCAGCAAACTCTCTGCTTTCTGCGACAGTCACAAAATGACAAAAATGGAATAAATATGCAAACACACCATCCCCCCAAATCAATGTTGGTGATATTTCCAATTTGGATTTTTTTGCAAGATAGGTTGAATAGCTTTGTTTTAGACAAGAGGTTTATCGGGGATCGTAGGTCTAATCACCATATTTCAAGACATATAAGATATGTAAGTAAAACATCACTTGGTAAATTTTTATCCAGAAATTCCACTCAGTTTAATTACAATTACAATTCTTAATTTTTAAACTAAAGAAGTAGACTTGATGCATCCAGTGATGCCAGCAATTTAATGATAGTTTTTTTCCATTATTGTAATAAAGCATTATTTCTTACAGCTGTTCGTAAGTCAATTTTTTCAGTCGCTATAGGCTTGACAAAAAAAACCGACAGCATTGACTTACATATTTATGAAATAAATTTTTCTTTTGACTAATAAATAGTTCATAGGCCAAAGACACTTCAAGACAAAATTCGATTAAATTCATACAAATGTTTCATGAAAATTGGCTTTGAAAGTTGTAAAGAAACATCAACACATGCATTCCATCAATTAAGATAAAAAAGCTCCCTCATAAGATGTTGTCACATCACATCAAAAATAACAGGAACTTTGAAATGAATCTCGTGATGTAAACAGACCCTAGCCTAATACAATAGAATAAACAAGGATTTGAAAAAACACACTACGCTTGATATCAAAAGGAGACGGAGGGACGACCCAAAGCAATTAAACACACCCATCTGAGTCAAGGAACCCACAGTTTAGTGCAGAAGCCCAAACTATAGAACTCTTTCTTCTCTATTATTCCCAATGGTATCAAAGGAGCGCATAAGGACCTGAATACCAAACTGAAGCATGACAATCGACACCCAAATGAGAATAATACAAATAAGCTAAAATAAGAACCCCAGCGAAATCAAATTCTACAACATCCCCCGTGAAATTAACTCTGATTTCATTTGATCTACACAGCAGATTCGCATCTAAATGCGAAAGTGTCCGGATGAGTGAGTCTTGTACCCAGGGTAACTGATTGTCAATGTCGATAGTTTCTGACCAGATTAGATAAAATTTCAAAAGCGCACCAAAGTTCGCCTTCTAATCTCTCTTTATGTTCCAGATCAAAAAAACTTCGCGGAGTGTCATTTCCTGCACCTGCGGGATGAATAACTCTGCATTTTTGCTGGGAGCGACTCCTTCCATGTTGCATTTCCCGCATTCATCCATTGGCCGATATTTTGTCTTCCCTTGAATGTTTTCCAAGGACTAGAAAACAATGCAAACTTTTCATAGTTGCATAGAGAGCAGCAAAAATAGCTTAATCCAGGACCGATTGGCTTGATTTTTGGGGCATTGATTAGCCTCCATTTGTGCCCCAGCTCATAGGTGTAGAAGAAATAGGTGCTTAGAGGGCTGCAGCCCCTCCCTAATAAGCCAAGATTTGTTACATTTCAGGCTTCATTTGGGCAGTTCCATCTCAATGTAGCAATGATATTCGGCCAGGATCCATACAAAGACCCCCTAACCTTTATCCTCCGTTATGCCCACATGCCCCTGCTCATAACCCTCCTGTTCTGTTGTATAAACAAACATTTATTAGTTTTTCCTCGCACATGCTTGTTGTAGCAGGAAAAAGGAACTAACGAAAAGCGTGTTTGCACCATCTTTGGGGTGTGCAGTTCTCTGCGAAAGTGACGAAACACTAGCCTGCGTCATAGATGGTCTGTGACGAGGACGCAGGCTACGAAACACCAGCACATGACCCTGATAAAGCCCTGTATGCCGGGGCGAAATATTAGTATATTCTTTGAATTTAATTCATTTTGAAAATTTTGTTTCGTGACATTGGATTCTCGTCATCGTATTGCTTTGTTCCTGTATATCATGACCCTTCGCCTTTTCTCAAAGGCTGGTTGCTTCAATCTCCTTGGCAACAAGGAATTTTCTTTAGAACTGAATTACCTGCTTTGTGCTTGCGGAGGAGAGCTGACTTCAGCGACTTGTCATGTGGAGTTCAAAAGTGATCGAAGAAGCAGTTTGATACAGTTGTAAGAGATGGAGGACAGAAAGGAATTAGGATTGGAGAACGAGGAAGAATCTCAAGAAGACAACGCCCAGTCGAGATGCGAAACTTTTAAAGGATGCTGTGTATTATTTCTTCGAAAAGAGAAGCTCATAATTGCAGTGTTTACATCCGTTATTCTTGGGTTTATCGTTGGCGTGAGCATAAATTCAGCAACTCAAAACTTGCAAGAGCCTGACCGAACAACATTGTTAACACTGATTGGGTTTCCTGGCGAACTGCTTGTAAGAATGCTTCGTATGTTGGTACTGCCGCTGATCGTTTGCAGTTTAATCGTAGGCCTAGCGGGCCTTGAGAAGCATGCATCTGGTAGGGTCGGTCGACGTGCTGTTGTCTACTACCTAGGGACAACTTTCATTGCCGCTGTTTTGGGCTTGATTATAGTTGTCATCATCCAGCCGGGTAAAAAAGCTTCAGTGCCTTCAACCTTGGCGGATCAGCCGTCAGCAAGAACCCTGGATTCATTTCTCGATCTACTAAGGTTAGTTTTCAATAATTTTACAATTTTACTTATGAAACTCTCTCATACCAACAAAGGGACCCTGCAACAAAGCTGGGTCAAGCCCCTGTCATCAGCAAGTTTTAATGTTACCCGACAACCAATTTTGCGCCGGCTACTGATATTTGTTTAATTTTAGAAACAGATCCGTGCACATCGGCTCCGACACAGGTTGGAAAGTGGTTGCGTAAAATCATATGGTAAAATTAACTTACATAAGAAAAGTAATATTGTTTTGGAAGAAAGTGGGGGGGGGGGCCATGGCCCCCGCCCCCTTCATCGGAGGCCCTGGTACAAGAACGGAGATTTTTGACAAAAATCCATAAAGAAATAATCAGTACATATTACTGTTTTCTCACTTTTGTTTAGTGAGAACGAGAAAAATCATTCTTCGTACATAACTAGCATATGATACAACAATACTTGCAGAAACAGCTGGCTTGGTGATAACGGCGTTGAATGAACATTTTGCTGATCCGTTTGCCACATGTTGAACCATAAAGGTAGCTATCAAACACCTGAGGCGTTTATTTAATTGTTCATCGCTTAGTTTGCTGGTTGCTATCGATTACATTTCCTATTGAAGAAATAGCCTCATCTTGTATTTTCTTTTTGTACACAACACAGGGTGCTTAAAATATAGGTACCAGCGTTTTATAGCGACGGCATATTTTGAATAAGAGAAATAATGGAAGTTTTGTGCAGAAGAAAACCAAATATAAGAAGCACAACTGCTTGAGTGGACTTGTCATAGATTGACAAAACCTTTAAAAGAAACATTTTGACTCGTCAATTTTTCTTCAACTTGAAATTCAAGTCACAGAACCTAGACATTAAGCAAGTCTTGAAATCACATCTATGCTTGGAATGTAGAAGATAAATGATCTTTCAATTTTCTTGCAAGACAGCAAAACAAGTGCAGAGTTGATTCAGTGTAAAATGATGTCCAGGGCCGTAGCTAGTATTATATACGAGGGTACAGGGGCAGGGATCCATCCGCAATTATCAAAATTCCCCTAAAAAAGTACAAAAACAAATTTAACAGACCCATAAGTATCGATTAACAATTATATGAGACAACATCTAATGCTGAGCACATAAGAAGTTACTAGTAATATCAATTTACCCTCCTGGATGTAAGGGCTGCAGCGCTGGGTCAAAGAGCTTTGAAGAAAATATTTCGCGGATGACGGAAATTTGGCAGCTTCTCGATAGAACGACTGAACGAGGGACGGGAGTCTCGGATCTTAAAATAACACATTCAGGCACCGCGGAGCAGGGGGGTGGGGGGGGGGGGGCTGAGGGGGCTTTAACCCCCACTTTTTGGAAAAATGCCAAATAATAAGTAATAAACTACCAGTAAAGCCTCTTTTTATATGGTTTTAGCCCCCCCCCCCACTTTTTTTAGACGGGCCTCACTTTTCTCAACGCTCCACGGTGCCTGCATGGAAAATGGGGATTGGCGGAATTTGTCACCTGTTGTTGGCGGAATTTCTTACCTGTTAGTGTTGTCTTGAAAAAGACCAAAACGACCGATTTCCACTAAAAATTGCTTGGAACAATGGGTATCTACCCGTCCCCTTGATAAACCCTACATTTTATTACCTAAACTCTTAGGAGAAAGTTACAGTATACTATGCAGATCCAACTGTAGCCTGCGTCGCAGACCATACGCAGGCTAATCCAACTGATGCATTCTGTGTAGCAATTGATGGAAAACATTTACTCTTTTGTTTATCAGGGGCGGATTTAAGCAACAATGATTGGGGGAGGGGTGTTAGATGCTAATTTTGGTTCCACACCCTTCAGGTTACTGGTAAATGATGGAAACGCCCATTTTTAAAGTTTGTCTTTAAGGTAAAGAAGCAGTGACGTAGCCAGGGTTGCAAGATTGGTGGGGCAATAAAGAGAACATTTTTGCTGACCAAACCCCTAAGAATTTGGGAAAACACCCATTTGTAAATGGTTTGGAAAATGTGTGGCATTTTTACGTGGCAATCCCTTCATACAATGTCATATTTAGCGTTCTGTGGCTGACCATATTCTACAACTGTTTATTTCCTTTACAATTCCACTAACGTTTAGATCCTGAGTTGTGTAAGACGAGGAAGCACTACGTGTAAAAAGTGATTTTGCAAAGTTGTAATCAAGTATCTAAAAATAAAAAACAGTTTTCGAAAGTTTTAAACCAAGTCCGTTGTCCTTAGAGCAAAATCCACAACAAGCATTTCAGAATCCAGTTTTTTTGAAGGATTGGACTGCTTTAGTATTTTAGTTAGTTTAAGGAAGGATGCAAATATTTAGCGAATGTTGCACCCCCTACACCCCTCACTAAATCCGTCTCTGTTGTTCATGTTTTTGTCTTTGTTATGTGTTGGTTGAACCCATAGTTATAAAAAAGGTTTATCACCAGGAAAATTCTATGGAAAATAATTATTGTATGGATTCCCCATATATAGAAAGTTTAAGTGACCCCCTAGGGGCTTATGGTGCTACAAAAGTTGTAAAAGCCCTTTTTCATTTGTTTATTTATTTTGTTTCTTGAAACCATTGGTGCCCCTCCATTAATCCAGCACTTCCTACTGTACCAAAGTGGGAAACTAAACAAATGCACATTATGATAGGACCTGTCAACTTAGACATTTTGTAACCAGGACAGGATGTCTGCTAATGGCATAAGTTTGGTTCTGAAAATTTACTTTTGATAAAAATCAATTAGTGAAGTATTGAGATATTGGATTCCAATGAAAGGTTGTCCTCTTCAACCAAGAGGCGGATTGTCTACACTAGACAATTGTTATAAAAAATTGAACAGTATTTGTTCCAATTTCTTTACCAGCTATAGCCTAGTGATGCAGCTTCTGCCAGATCCTTCCAATCGCCTCTAAAGCCATAGTGACCTTTTTTTGTTTATCACAATAGACCATTGTCCGTATTTTTAAGGTGTAGTAAGGAGTTTGTCATTGCAGGAGCCGAATTTTTTTTAAAAATTTAAAGAAATGACCTTATTCAAGTAACATATATAGGAAATGCACAAACATGTAGAAACCCACACAGTTATGGTAGAGAGGGTTAAGAGGAAACATGTGCACATTTTCAAACTCAGTATGATCTGCCAACATTTTGGTTATGGGATCCTCAATAATTTTTGGGGGCCTGGGTCCCCTGCCCCCTCAACCTACCCACTTGACCCCAAGTGAGTCCTAATATTTCTGAGTTTTATCAAATGGGCTTAACAGCTGTAAGATATTTTCTCTATTTTCATTTTATTATGTTTTCTGTCCTCATTTTGTCTAAGCTTGCACAAAAGGCTAGTTTTGGTCCATTTCCTCTAGTCTCTTTCAGAGAAACTGTCTTGACCACAAACCTGTCTTATGATTGTTTCTTTGAAATTGATAAGTTAGTTACTGAACCTCTGATTTTCAGTTAGCATTTATGTTGGCTGATAAGCATTTGAACAACATTGTTTAACATAAGCTTTAAAAGCAGTTTAGTGGTCCCTTGCATCTAACTATTTTGCTTTTTTTATTATCAACAGGAATATGTTCCCAGACAATATCATACAGGCATGTTTTGAGCAGGTAAGCCAACAGTTTATACAATTTTTCATTTGCAAGGTGTATAAACAACATCCTCAATAGAATGTATACATTTCCCTATCGTTTGTATATATACATTTAATATGTACATTCAATATCTTTGTTTTGAGACCATTAGAGAAGCTAGTTTTCTTTTACTACCTAAATGTGATTATATCTTAACATTGTTAAATCCTAATTATGATTTTTTTCTATTGAACTGATTCTATAGAAAGGTGAAATGTAATAAGATTTGTTTAGTAAAATCATTTATTCTGTGTCTGCTTTGTTCATGTTATCACTCATTTGCTTCTTAAATGATAAAACGATTCTTCAACACGTTTTCTATCAGTTTGTTTGTTAATGTCATGTGCATCACCCTTCCCTAATTTATGACAAAATGGCTGTTAACACGAGATCTATCTTTATTATATTATTGTTCATTTTTTAAAATCCAGCGTGAGTAGAAAATTATCAAACATTATGCAGATTTCTCAGAGAGGAATGATAAAACGGGAGAAAAGAGCATTTACTGTTTATAGTTCTGTTATTGAGACATTCTGTTACGAATTTCCCAGATACTTTAGTAAATACGTTCTACCAGATACAGATCTTTTTATCCTGCAACAAAAAATGTGCCTACTTGGATTTTGTTCTTTGTCTGGTTATGTAACTTTCAAAAGCCTATTGTAAACACAGGATGAGGTGGAATATTTTTATGTGGATCGGACAGGCAGCAAACCATTTTTCTGTGGTTGTAATGTTCGAATAGATCTCGTGTGGGCACTTTTCTGTTTCTTCTTTGCCCGCCAGCTGTAGGCTTGCTAGGGCGTTTACAATACATTTTGAAACGTGTTCGTTTGTCCAGTGGGGGCTTATGTTCTTATTACATAAAACCAACTGTGATCTCTATGTAATTGTATTCCTGTGTCTTTAGCAAATGAGCGATTAGAAAACCTGAAAAACAAGACAATCTTCTTCTGTAGTAGTTTCAAAGCGCTGCCGATTTGTTTAAAACGGTGCTTTTATAGGTTATATTATTGATTAGTCAGTATACGCCTATGCATTGGTTTTTAGGGGGGGTATTGGCCGTAGACGTACGAGCGATAAAAAATTGTGCTGCTGGCCAAATGATGACGTCGTAAAAATAAATTTTTTGGATTAGGAACATCTATAGGATAGTGCAAAATCGGCTAGATCTGTTATGGGCTGCATGAGATCTGGCCATATAGGGTATTCCCCCACCAAACCAATGCGTGTCCTGTTCGAAAACTTATGAACTAGGCCAAAATATCAGTAATCCTTTAGCAAACTTCAGGTCTTTCGTTGGCCATATTTCAAAACATATGGAATTGATTTAACTTGTTTTGCACATTTAGTGGCATTTTCTAGTAATATTTCTGCTAATGTGGCCGAAAAGGTAAATTTTCTACAAATCTTTTTGCTCGTACTAGCTATCTTTTTGCTCGATTTAATGGAATGTAGGGGGCTAGGGTATTCCACATGCCCCCGTCTCGTACGCTCGTGGTTATCTCGCAACCCCAAACGTTTTTTTATCTGCGAATGTAACCTATCTTGGAACACAACAGACTTAACTAAGCCCCTTGACAAACTTTGTTGCGCAATGCGATAAGCCCAGCAGTGTATTGGGTATTAAGGCGTGTCTTTGCATATAGCAGTATTATGACGAGTGAGATTTTTTCCTGGATTCAGAGCTATAAGTCAAAGAAAAAGAAAATTTGGTACATACGATCGGAAACGTTTGATGCTTACGTTCTGATCAAAAGTCTGTTCAAATATTTGCCTGAAAGCGTGACAGCGTGACTGCAAGTGACAGAAGCTGTGAAAACTCAGTAGACCACTTTGTCGTCGCTCGTGAACGTATGCGAAAAAGAGGGGTGCTTGAAGACGTGTAGATCTCTCAAAGCCCTACGAAGGGAAGGAGAAAGGGGCTAGGAAGAGAGACAATCGTCATCAAGATTGTTGATTTTAGGTTTGAAAGAAGAAATGTTATGAGAGTCTAGAAGGCACAAGGAGGGTAACATGTTCTGAAGTTTTCAAGTTCTGAGAAAGAGAAGTAAACTGTTGGTCAGAGTTCCTGAATTTGACAAATCTCAGTGGATCAGTGATGTTGCCTCTAGTTTCCCGGGGACAACGTGAATGATAATATCTGGATAGGGCAGCATCACAACGCCAATTAGAATTAATTTTGCAAAGAAGGCAAGAAAACTCTGCGACCCCAAGTATAAGAAGTGGTCGAATTTGCGATTTGTATATAGCTAAAGAATGGAGGAATAAGAACCTGGGTGGTTAAACTTTGAATGACCCTAACTTTTCACCTTGATGAATAAAACCGATGAAATGACAGAACCTTGTTAAACGTAAGAAATAATTGAGTAAAAACTGAAATTGTACCAATCAACTCCAATGTCAAGAGATCTATCGGGGAAATGATGTCAGTCTACTAGATTATGATGTGGTGCAGACCAAACAGTTTAGAAAGACGACCTTTGTGCCAGACAGGATCGAAAGATTTTGAGAAAGACCAATCTGCTCAAATGATTTGAGAGTAGAGCGTCCAACAAAAGCAATTTTTTATAACTTCGTCTACATTTAAATATACTATAGCTGCCGTAGCTAAAAAGACATAATTCCTTCGGGTCTGAACTTTCAATAATGTTCAAATATACTTTAAAATTAAAGAAAAACCTTTAGCAACTAAACAGCAACATTCACACCGAGCTTCACAGAAAGAGGAACCTTCCAAAATGGACATACCTCTTGACAAGACACTCGGTGGAAGAAAGTTGCATACAAACAGGAAAATGCTACTACTGTTTTACGCTTTAAATTGGATCTAACAACCTTTGCCCAAAAGCAATTTTGATGATCAGAATGAAATGTATTGGTTTTTCATTTTCATTTATCATATTAAAATCTTTATACACGAATTCCCTATCAGCTATAAAACAAATATAAATAAACTACTTCTATTACAATAACGTCTTTAATATAATCATTCTGATGTTTCTTGGAATCTCATTCCATGTTTTGGCCCCAGTGTGAAAGAAACTTCCCTTTGAGAATTCCAAATTTTGCCTTGGGATGTCAATATCAAGCTGATTCCTTGTAGAATACCTGGATATCTCTGATTCTAGTGATAAATTTACCTTTAAGGCTGTCAGGGCAAAGACCATTCATCATTTTGTACGTCGTTATGGCCCTGTCATATCTAATTAGGTTCGAAACTGAAAGCGATTTACAAATCCACCCGTCCTCAAATTGTCAAATAACTGGATATCCCTGATCTAGTGATAAATTTACCTTTAAAGCTGTCAGGGCAAAGGCCCTTCATCATTTTGTGAGTCATTATGGCCCTGTCATATCCAATTAGGTTCGAAACTGAAGGCGATTCACAAATCCACCCGTCCTCAAATTTAAGGAAAGGATGTAAATTTAGAAATAAAGGAAATGCTTACGATTTTACAATAGCAGGGTTCAGTCTTGATCCGTCTTTTTAGAATAGGAAAAATGTGGATAAGTTTCCAGTTGGATAGAAATATGCCTAGAGGCTAGGGATTAGGAGAGCTGAGTTTGTTAAAGAATCTGGGCGAATTCTTGGGATAATTGCTGATTTACCCTAAGTAAAGAGCTCTACATTCTTATGAAATGAGGATCTAATTAGTGACGTTAAAGTAATGTTAAAAACAAGCCCATATGATTGCTCATCTGTCTCAAAATCATTGACTTTGTTTGGCACTGATGGGGATGGCTGTTTAATTAATTGACTTTACAGATTGACGGTCCCACGGCCACTGGCTGGAGGAAGATTTTAGAAAAAAAAGGAATTGACTTGAAGTTTAAAAAAATTGAGAAAGTTGAAGAAACCGTATTGCCTTTTTGTTTTCAGAATACAACCTGAGAAAAAATAAAGATCCAATAAAATTTGAGAACCACTTTTTAAAATATGAATGTGTTTGCAGAACTGCTTTGAACTGTAAAGTTTTGGCATTTTACAAATCAAACGCAGCAAATGTATACATTAAAATAGTAAAGTGTTCTAAACGATTGCAGGAAATGACTGCAAGAAATTGTATGAAATGAATTTCAAGCTAATCTAAAAGGCGTGGTCATAAAAATTTCTGCTTGCTTCCCTCGCAGATGGCCTCGTCTCCTGGTTTTGCCCCAGGGCCTCCAAAACCTCTCGACGGCCCTGCGTATCAGGGGTGGACCTAGGAATTTGATTTGATAAAAGGTCATAATAAGTTGAGATATATTGAAGATCTAAAACAATCCTTGGATGGAAAGAAAATCGTGGGCACTGTCCTTATGAATCCCTCCAAAGCATTCGATTGTCTCTCACATGAACTCTTACTAGCAAAATTGGAAGCCTATGGACTTAGTAGAGATGCATTATTAACTTTAGCGAATGGAAAGAAACGAAAACGTGTGTTTTCCAAGGTTCTGTCCTTGTTCCTCTTCTTTTCAACATTTTCATTATTGGAATATTCATAAACCTAGATCAAAGCAAAGTATGCAACTATGCTGATGATAATACCACATGGATTGAAGGTACTGATAAGAAGGACATATCAGCTAAACTAGAACATGAAATCAAAATCATAAACCAATGGTTTATAGACAATGCTATGCAGCTCAATAGAGACAAATGCAAACTTGTGATGATTCAGCAAAACCGAACAATGTTGAAAAATGTAGCATTTATGTAAACAGGCAAATAGTTAAAGAGGAAGACAAAGTGAAATTGCTGGGCGCAACAATAGACAACCAATTAAAATTTGATGACCATAATCAAAAGTATGTGTAAAGAAGCAGAAAAAAAGATAAATGCACTTGCAAGAATAGCGCCTCATTTAAACAAAGATAAAAGAAAACTTTTGATGAAAACATTTGTTTTGACATTCTTCAATTACTGTTCCTTGGTATGGATGTATTGTAGTAGGAAAAACAGTAAACCTATTAACAACGTTCATGAAAGAGCATTGCGAATAGCCTATAATGATTTTCTATCTAGTTTTGAACAACTGCTGCTCAAAGACAACACGGTTACAATCCATACAAGGAATTTAAAGCAACTTGCAACAGAAATCTACAAAGCTATTCATCACGAAAACCCAGGTTTCATGGAAGATACTTTTAGCATAACTGAATCACCCTATAACCCCAGTAGGGGCTGATTTTCACTAGAAATAAACCAAACACTATAGCATACGGATTAGGCACTGTATCATACAGATGTCAAGAAGTATGGAACTCAATTCCCACAGAAATAACCTCAAGCTCAAATATAAAAGCCTTTAAAGCAAGTATCAAAACTATGTCTGCAATTTCTTGCTCATGCCGCATTCATAGGACTAGTAGGCTATATAAAATGACAGGGAAACTATTTTACATTGGTGTATCTTATTAGTTATTCATCTATTTTTGTTGCGTTGTTAAATTCGGTTATTGTTGATATATTTAGTTGGTTTTGATTAGCTTTATTATCGCTAGTAGTATACGTTTACCAACTAAAAAGAAAGTGAAGAAAAGAAAAAAAAAGAAAAAAAAATATATAATATACATTTCTATGTGTGATATACGTCTTCTGTAAACTTGGACGCATCTTTTTAGAGCCCCCCAATAATTGTCAAACTGTAGTATATTTCTTTTATAACAGTTTACTGAATCAGAAGGAATACAATGGGCTAGCTATTCCACTGCACTCATTTTCCCCCCAAGAAACTCGCTATAAGAAACGAGTACTAGACAATCGGAAGAAACTTAGAAACTTCTGCACTCGAAGCAAAGAACTTCGAAATTTAGTGAAAATACACCTATATGATAGGCTGGTCGGCATTGCACTTTATACACATTGACGAGTCTCACTTGCTGCTGCTTAGATAACCCTCCCAAACAAGTTTCTGTTGGAAAAATTCTTAGCATAAGAAATTACTGATAAGTTCCCGTTGGTTCCCGTATGTCGAAATTGATGACGTCATAATTAAGAGGCTATTAAGAAACAGTGAATATTGGAATTTCCTAAAACGTCAAGAAACTGGAGTATTCAATGTCGACCTTACTGCTTATGAAAAGATGTGTGTATGTTGTGTTTAAAGACCTTGTAGGCAAATGATTTTAACACATAAAAAGCTATTTGTGTCATTTTGGTTCAATGTGACCCCAGTGCAACAGCTGAGTCGTGCTAATGATATAGCTTTTCTCTTTAAGCTCTTCGAAGCTGTTCACGTTCTGCTATTTGTTGCTATCTTTTTTTATGGTAAATTAAACGTTTGCTGTCTCTTCTCACAGGCAAAAACATCAGTGAAGAATGTTAATGTTCCAGTGAAAAATGTGGATATAAACATGTCTGCAACGACTCTGTCAGAGCTCGAGCAGTTGAAAAAAAAGTACACGGTGAAAAGAGAAGTTATAAATCACACAACTGGAGAAAATAGGACATTTTATACAATTTATAGCCAAGTGGTAGTAGGTGGGCCAGTTGTTTACAAGTCGGGACAGAACCTCATTGGACTAGTCGTTTTCTCAATAGCAGTTGGTCTTGTCACTGCTTCTCTTGGGGACGAAGGAAAACCTTTGCTGAAATTCGTAGATTGTGTCAATAAAGTTATATCAAAGCTTGTTCGTTACGTCATGTGGTAAGTATTATCAACGAAAGATAGGGCAACTATGAGCGATTGGCAAAACTAGAAGAATGCCATTCTTCGCAGCAGTTTCCAAGAAAGCCGTTCTTGCAGTTCTGCTTTTGTCCACTTTCCTTATAGTATATCTGACAATATTATATGATATTGTATGCAATATACAATTTATATGCACCATTCCTACCTAATAGCATCCAAATAAATGCTAACAGCATAAAGGAATGCCTAAAGGTACGAGAAATTTTATTAAAGGCGTCAAGAGAAAAAAAAGGGAGGGAGGGCCGGGAAAATAAACAGCACACTCTATTCGTCGCCTTTCACCAAGCAAAATGAAACCAACACTATGTCAAAAAACCTTGAATACCCCTAAGAATAACCTAGGGAATGAAAACCGCCATGAGCCATAAATGTTGCCCTAGCATTACTAAACAAAACCCCTGGAGGCCAAGACTACTTCGCAATACCAATAAACGAGTAACGCAAATGCAAGAGAACCACGAGAAAGCCTGGCACATGAGACCAAAAATATGAATAACAGTCAATAATCAACTCAGGAGTAACAGCCAATGCAAAAGCCCCTCGTTAAATTAACTCTGATTAAATTTCATTTAATCATCATATCTCACAAAGCTAGTTAAACTGGTAAAACTGGCAAAACTGGTCAAAGTTGTGGTTGCCAGAGTGATAAGAGTTTATGATATCAAGAAATTTTTTTATGTTGTTAAGTACATGAAGGAATTGAAAAAATCTTCGTATCAAATACATGCTAATATATTGTCACCACCTTCACTTTTTGGGGAAGTTCGACTCAAGTTGTATTGTGGTAGACTGTCATTTTTAACCTTGCATTATGCTTTTTTAGCCGCCCTTTCTTGCTTGTCAGCCTCATTCGACAATTCCGCTTTGTAGGCAGCATTTCACCATCCATTCGTTGAATATAATCGTGTTTTTCTTTTCATCGAGGTATTCTCCCATCGGCATTTGGAGCCTTCTGGCCGTTTCATTTGCTCAGATGAACGATATAAGCGGAACATTTGAAAGTCTGGGGCTTTTGGTTCTGTGTGTTATTCTCGGACTGCTCATTCATGTGTTTTGTGTTTATCCTGGAATATACTTCATTTTCTTACGAAAAAATCCATATGTCTACATGAAGGGGCTGCTGCAACCACTCATCACTGCGTTTGGTACAAGCTCAAGGTAACGAACGATCCATAGCCTCGCCTTGTTGTAGCTACTTCTCAGAGAAGAGGCTACTGTTTCTTGCAAAAGTGAAATAACACAAAGGAAGCATTGCATCAAACAATAGATTATATCATACCCATCAAGCAAAAATGACAATTAGGATAAGATGTGTTAGCTTCAGAGTTGGTTAGATAATTTATACTTTAAACCATAAAGTTTGACTAATATAACTTGCAAAAGCATTTGACATTTACATTGCTTCTACATCGGAGGACATCCATAATATACTTATGTACATTCCCTGTAAAAGCGCTGTCACATTTTAGGAAAAAGCCAATAAGGGACATGGGAAGAATAGGCGTGACAGTCTCTTAGCTTAAAGAAATAAAAGTAATTTCTCTACATTTGTTCCGTGTTAGCAGGTGGTTATTAGCTCTTGTTTATTCATTTGATATCAAAAGCCTGCCTGTTTATTCATTTGATATGAGCCTGCAATCAAAAGATATTTGTGAAGCTATACAACTGTTTTTCCTTAAACCTCCTTTTCACTTTGTATGCAAATGTAACAGTTTCGTGGAACCGTCACCTTCCTTTATTGAGACCTAGTATCCTCCCCTTCCTATAATATCCATAAATAAGGAGTCAAGACTACAACAGTTAGCCAAAGTATAATTAAGCATCTGCCATAGGTTTTTTGTTGGAAACCCAGTTGGCAATGTCTGTTCTTGGAAATGCGAACAGCTTCCTGCCAACGTTATATTAGAAGAACGACAGAATATTTTGTCAATAAGAATTGGAAGGGAGAGGCTGCAATGCTTTGATAGAAAGATATGCCTTTTAAGTTTACAAAAGTCTAGAAAAGTCTGACGAGACATATGAAATGCTGTTATGAATGATGTATCTTTATGCAATAGAATAGATAGTACGTCATATTTGAATTCCTAGAAATTGATATATACCTTGAGTATAGTTGTGTTGCCTTATCAACAAAGGCTTAATCTGCAAATCATTTTGCTTTTAAGTGCAGCGACATTGCCGGTCACAATGAAGTGTCTACAAGAAAAGCAGAAGGTTGATAGTCGTATTGTAAATTTCATGGTTCCAATTGGTGCCACTGTGAACATGGACGGTGGAGCACTTTATGAGTCGCTTACCTGTATATATCTAGCACAAGCATACGGCTATGATCTTGATTTTGGAAAATACATTGCCATCAGGTAGATCGTCGTTCTGTTGTTGCTTTCTTTGCTTTAGAATCGTTGCTAAAAGTAGTAAAACACCTGCCAGCAATGAATTTATTTTGAACGTAAGAACAAAGAATAGCATTAAAGGTGGGCGCTAGGGCACTGAACTTTAGGGCACTGAACTCTAGGGGATGCCTATAAGGCAACATTGTGTTCCCTCAAACTAGTTGTTTGCTTATAAAAAAGGTAAACGAATCACCAGAGTCCAGAAAAGTTGTCACCCTTCCTCCGGCCAAGAAAATCTTGCTTTTGCACCTATCTGGGGGGTATACATCTAGTCTTGATTCCTTCTCCTTGCAACTTTTTTCCAAAACATTGTTGAAGAATGGTTTCTTGTTTTCAATTACAGATATTTGTTGAGACGGATCTAAAGTTACGTGTTTTTATCAATTGATAATAGAAGTGTGTTATAATTTAAATAAATCGATTATCCAAAGTTAAAAAAGTTTAGCAGTGCAATTGAGTCCTGCAAACTCATTAATTTTTAAAATTAAGGAAGGTGCTTGCGTATTTTGAAAACCAAAAGGCAATACGATTTCTTCAACTTCATCAAGTTTCCATGTTTTTGGTCAACTTCCTCAATTTCTCTTTGTTTTCACAACCCTCCTCCGGCCCGTGGCCGGTGGGCCGTCGTGTTTTCCTGACTCTGAGAATCACTTTTGAACTGTATAATTATCTATACAATGCGCTTACCTTCACATTGCTTGTTTCAGAATTTTATAAAAACCCTCATCTGTTAGATAAAATTGTTAATGTGTGTTGCTCAGATGAAATAAATGTGTGACCCTTGATATCAAACCGAAATGCAGAACTACTGCTAAACATTCAATTGCAGGAAGAAGCCTTACTTCAAAGATACGGAACAACAATAGACAGTTCATAGCTGCATCATTGACCATTGAGTTGGTTACCTTGCAGCATTTAAAAAGAAAGTTTTTTTTTCGACTCACTAGCCCCTCCTGTGCCTTCTTCTTAAGCATTCATAGGTTTTTCATTGTTTCTGTTTCCAGTCTTGCTGCAACAATGGCATCAATTGGATCTGCGGGAGTGCCATCAGTTGCACCAGTTGCTATCCTCATCGTTCTCCAGGCAGCTGGCCTGCCACCTGAAGCGGTTTCCTTGGTTTTTACCGTTGATTGGTTCTTGTAAGTATGGTTTCTTTTATTCTCCCTGTATGCTATTTATTGGTACCGTTAATGAAAGCAGTTGAAGCAACATTTTTTGAACACAACTTCATTTACTGAGTCAAATGATCTGAAAGGAAATTATTGACACCAATTCACTTGCTTACATGCTTGTATACTGAACTTTTGTGGGCCCTGGTTGGTCATACGAGGAAGCCAATCAAACACGCCATTCGTTTTCTTCAAGCCTTATTCATCTGCACTTTCCTATAAATTTACGCTCGCCCTCTTTTCGTCATCCCATGTTATTTACACTGGGAGGTGTAGGGCCAAAAGTTACTTTTAACATCTTGCTTTGCTTTTTCGGTCCATCTTGTAATTTTGTAGATTAAAAAGCTTATCGACGCATCTTTTGGGTAGATACAAACAGTTAGAAGTTCAAGTAACATATTTTATGACAAGATCGTATGAAAAAGTACAACTTTGCATATGAATTCTTAAAACATTTCCAGTCTACATCAGTTGTAAAAAGAATTTAATGTCTTAATTGCAGGGATCGTTTCAGAACAGCAGTAAATGTCTGCGGGGATTGCTTTGGTGCAGCAGTAGTTGCGCATTTATCAAAGAACGATCTTTGTCTCCCAAATGCTATGGAAGGAAATTCAGTTGTTCTGAACGATAGAAATGCAGAGAAAAACGCGTCTTTACTATCAGTAGAGGGCGCAGAAAGCAGCTCTACCACCATGTTGTAAACAAATCGCAATAAATTTTCAGGCTTCATCCCATCATTTCATTTCAGCACGTTTAAATGACATTCGGACGTCTAGGTCACCACTTTTGTCTGTAAATAGAGTACTTTGGGTGTTTTGTGGTGATAATATAATTTTAGCTTAATTCTATTGTGTTTTCTTGGTGATAAACAAACCACTAAGGAGAGCAAGGAGTGACAAGACGATTACATTAAACTCCACACATTTCTGACGGTTAAACAACTCGGTTCAAAAAATTTACTGTCCGCAAATTTCACTCCCGAAAAACTACATAGAAACTTTGAAATATAGTAATTTATTGACCAGGCAATTTAGAGGAGGTGGGGCTGCAATACTAACATGGAAAGATAAAAACGAGGGGCAATTCACTCTTGCAAATAGCGTACGAGATTTTCCCTTAAACAAAGGATTTCTGGGGATTTCCAGATAAAACAATAGGATTTTAGAAAAGGTGTACGAGATTTTCTTTGAGTGATTTGCCCCTCAAATAAGAATTCGAATACAGAAGGATGCTTGCTTGATTCATTCTCTTTCTCAGTATGCCCATCATCAAGCATTATTAACGCCCAAGCTTCCTCCAAATTTTCTTATTCACCTTTCCTGTATTTGGAAATGGTTCTTCTGAGAATTCATCTTTTACATTTTGTCCGAAATTGTCTAAAATCAACCTTCTTGGTCCGAAATGTTCTATACGAAAATTAAACGTGCGAAATTAACACTTCCGAAATTTTTGGGTATTGGTGTAAACTTTGTAAACATAGATTTATTGGCTTTTTTCTAATTATTCTGTTGTAACAAGTTTTGTTTAGGCTATGTCACCTTGGTGTAGAAGCTTGACATTTTATCTATTCATGATAGATGGTGTATTACTTAGTTTCTATGTCTCTCATGTACTTTTGCATACTTTTATAGCTTCATATGATGTGGTTGACTGTATTGCTTTAAATTCAAACATTCATAAGGAACTTAAACGCAGGAACAATAAGGCTTCTAGTTTTTAACACTCGTTTGTGTAGCTACGTAATCGTTTCAGAGATACGACAATGTGTGTCTTTTGTGTATGATTAAATTTAGTTAATATAAGCAGCTTGGGCTCTTTTGACAGATCTATCAGTAATTTATTGCATAGTTAAATAAAGCGGAATTCTGCATTTTTATGAGTAATAGGAATAACGCTTTACAGAACTGATTTTCGTGTTCCCGTGTAATGTCTTGGTAGCGTGTTGAAAGTTTAGCTTTCTCTTGAATGTGTATATTTCAGCAAAGATTTGACTATTTTATCTCGATATCTGTTATTTTGGATATGTTGTCCTTGAATTGTCTGATTATTCGTATCCAGTTATAGGAATTAAACTAACATCAATTTGTTAGTCAATAAAATTGGGATTTTGACGGGTAGATAATCTTTTTAAATTTTCAGACGAAAAATTTTCCTTTGTGCATTTTTCCGTTGATCCAGAGGAGGATTATTAGGAATATCACAGATAAACATTAATCTCAAGAAATTTGACAAAAACAGAGACAATTTTAGTCTGGGAGATGCATTTCTAGCCATCATAGGAGGCTTAATTTCAAAAAATTTCTTTCATGTTGGACCCAACCATAGTGGGTCCTCATATGTCACTGAACTTGATTCTTAGCCCCCCCCCCCAGTCTCAATTTTGTGGCCCCGCCTCTGAAAACTGCGAAGCACAATGCTCCAGGATCGTCTACAATCTCTTACGCTAATTTCGTGCAAGAAATACTTTACACAGATCTTATCTGTTATCAATAGGTGGATCCAGTTGAAGAACAGAAGAGTTCAATATAGTGTTTCTAATGGTTTAATAAATTACGTGACCACAAAAGCTTATTTTAGAACTTTTATTAAACTAATAGTTTTACAGTTGAAGTTGCTTTGTAATATCTGAAATTTGAATATTTTAACAATGCTAAAATATTCTGATTGCATTAACGCAGTGTAATGCTGCCAAAATGTTCTCGGTAGATAAAAACTCGCACCCCGCCCCCCCCCCAAAATTCCTGAAGCCGGGCCTGGGCACAACGCAGATCATGAAAAAACCATTCGACCCTAACAACGTTCTACATCCAACAACAAGTACAGTTTATAATAATAATAATATGGCAAGGGAAATAAACCAATATTTTGTTTGATAATATGATATCAGTGTTTTATAAAGCTAGATAACAGCTATTTTTGTGCTGCAAGAGGAGCCCTTTTATGTTCTGTGGCCCCGTTGAGGTCATTGAACGGCCCCCATTCTTCTCATGTCATATTCAAAACGGAGGAGTATGCCGAAATGAATGACGGGAAATCATGAAAGAGAGACCAGGTGGAGTGTTATTTTCACTGCCTTTTGTCGTTGGCCGACGGCATCAGGAAGAATTTGAAATAACTGGTAAGAACTAGGGGATAAATTATATCAAAATCAACCACTGGTTCATTTTAGAGACAAGGTTTGTTATATTCTGAGTCTATATGACCTTCAACCATGTCATTACTGCTAAATCATTGCCGCGTTAAATGTTAAAGTACTCGGACCGGTACAATGGATAGGCATAGGCCATTCATTGGTGGTGCTGGTCGTCATTAGAACAACTGAAGCTCATTTTAGAATCGACCACTTTGGCCAGAGCTGGTAACTGGATTTCAGTGTAAATATGACATCACGATTGTAAGAATAAATTTCATACAGGGCAGGAGTCGTGTTTTATTCTGAGATGCGCACGATGGGCAAATAGGATTTCTAAAATGTCAGTCTTCTGTCTAATGCTATTTAATTCTTTAAGAGTGGTTTGTAATAGAATTGTTTAGTAGCAAAATTAAGTAAAATTGTTGTTCAATAGGAAGTCAGTTATTTTTATTTTCAGCCTGAAATGTTGCTCTTCAGAAATGATAATATCAGTGTTCATTGAAAGTGTTTCTTGTTTCGGGCCTTAAATATAAACAGTTTGTGTAAACTAGTATTGAAAAGTTGACAAGTTCCCAGTAGTAAAGGATAACCAATGGAAAACTTTGAAACTGCAATATTAATACAAATTAAATTAAGTATATAGACTTTTGTTATCACATTACTATACAATCTTTCTCTCTGTAGGATAGTGGTTTTTCTACAGCTGCCAAGACATCAAAATGATGTCATCAGATGGGGTGGCAGGAATGCCTCCCTCCTTTAACTACACCCCTGAAAACTTCCAAAACTTGCAGAGGGTAAGATATTTGACACTTTTTTTGCGTATTAAACATATATATCTATTCTTATGAATATACTGATACAGAGGGGCTCCTTATTAAGTAAATGGGCTTTTTTTACTTCACCAACATTGCATTGAATATCTCTCTCCACTAAATTTTCACTATTCAGAACTTTGTTTCAAGAAAAATCAAGCTCTATAAGCAATTTTCTTTCTTTAAATTAACTATTAAATTATCTTTCTTTAAAGTTTATGTTTGAGCTCCAGTTAACAATGCAACTGCTTTCTTGGTTGGTAGCTCAGAAAATAAAGTAGAAAAAATATTTGTATTGTTTTTTAAAAAGGCTACAATTTCCAAGGTAGAATCCAATCTAATTTATGCAAGAGATATACAGCAAGGGCCTCATAATTTCTGTGGCATATTTGTGTAAAACAAAGGAAGCAATAATACATTGGCATTAAGCTGCATAGTTTCCAAAAAATATTGGCTGCCTTTATTTGGAGCAGCACATGATTTATAAACAATCATTGTTGGTGAAAAGGCTGATTAATAGTCTCTATCATGCATTGTATCATACAACTTTTTACAACTTTTTGAAGCTGTAAAACCTTTAGGGCAGTTTTATAATTTACTTGCCTGGTGTGAGGTTTACATGGATTCCACTTTGGTACTGTTTTGCTACTTATATACTTCACCTACTAAATATTCACACCAGGCAAAAAGTATGGGACAGACCATACCAGGAATAAATTTGCAGGTGTGTAGTCAATCACACTCCTTTGTAAATCAAGGGGTGCAATGGGATGCTAATTCTATTTAAGCATAATGAAGTATTTATGAACATTTATTGAATGTACAAAATTTGAAATTTTTACTGATTTTTAAATTATACATTTAACATGATTAAATTATAGATTATACAAGGGTATACATTTTCTTTTTTCAAAGCATTTTCTATTTTGCAAATGGAATATTAAGATTTTATTAGAAGGCACAAAAACTAGGAGGTTTTCCAAATGCTATAAAAAGTGGTCATCCTCCAAAAAAGAGTTTTTTGAAAACGCATTGGATAAATGTGTACCCACAAAAACAGAGCTTTTGAAAACTCTCCAAAAATGTGTTTGGAGGTGTCAGTGAATAGTAAAAAACCACAAACAACAAACATTTTTTATTTCACTTCTGTGAGCTGTGTGAATGCCCAAAGGAAAAATTTTTCTCTTCCTAGACGATGCAGTGAATGGGGCACGGTTTGCACAGTACTGTTTTCATTTCATATCAATTGGTTTCATACCTGATCTGTCTTTTTCTACATGAAAATTATCCAATTTGATGTGGTTCATACCATTTTGGCCCTTCAAAATGAAAACACTGTAATGTGGGATGAAACCAGTCTTATACATCTCTTTGTTCGTGTAAAGGGTTGAATCTGATATCAAATGAAAATGCTGCTGTGAAGAGACAATAAAACAGGCAAACCCCAAACAGTATAGCGTTCTGGGGCACTACAGCGCTCACGTGTAAACAGAGCCCCAAATCGAAGATGAAATGAAAATGGTAACATGTAAACAGGCGAAAATTTCTTGTCAAATCAGGAAGGTGGTAACTCATAGCCAGGACAAGGCGTGTGATAATTTGCAGTTCCTGGGGAAACAAGGCAGGTTCCAAGTTGTGCGCTTGTCATCACATACCTCTCCAAAGATGGCCCGATAGGAGAAATACACAAAAACGCATCAGTCTTGTATTAATAGCAGATACTGTATGCCAAAAGTCTTTTCTAGTGGGGGATAGAATGGTAGGACTAACACTGGACTGCTTCTTCCCAAAGAGGATTTTTATTTTATGCCTTAGTCTGTGTAGGGTATTTGTTATTGGAAGAGTCCTGGCAGTCTAGCATAATGGCAATAAATTCAGTCCTGTTTTTTTCTTGCATGCCATTCCAGGGGATGAACTTCTCTTTCATTTCCAGGTTATTTAAAACTTGTTTTACAAGAGAGTTACACAATGTCTCACTGTCCAAGGGGATACACAGGTGTGCATCATCTATCACTCACCCCAAATGGCAAGGCTTGGTTAGTAGTAATTTCTTTTTATCTGATTTTTAGGCAATTGAGGCTATGCAAGAAAGAGGAATGGAGGCAGATCCAAGGTACGCACAGTTAATGCAGCTGGCAAGACAATTTCACATGATGCAAGGAGGAGGGGGGCAGATGCCACCACAAAGTTTGATGATGGGTGGCGGACAGCAGATGCAGCAAGACCCGTATGGGCAAGGAATGATGGGAATGCAAAGAGGAAACATGGGGCCTAGAATGGATCCAAACCAGGTAAGGCTGTTGCTTACTGGAACAAAAGCAAGAAAAATTTCTGTTACAGGCATATGCTTGGTTTACAGTGTGTATGAGTAAATAAAAATATCAGCTTAACTGAAGCTCAGCTCTCTAATCCTACATGCCTATATTTCAAAAATGTATTGTCTCCAAAAAAAATTAATACCACATAGAAGGATTCAGAATGGCCGATTTCAAATGAGCTTCAATACATGGACAATCTTGAAATGTTGGTAACATTTTTTGATGCCATAAAATTCTTCAAAGCTGACTTTATTTTTCTACAGATGTACGGTAACAGACCTCCAATGGGAATGCAGCCTGGAATGCAAGGGAACATGCAGCCCAATGCCATGGGGGGTATTCAGGGCAACATGGGACAAATGCCTGCCAATAACATGCCTCAGATGCAAGGTGGCAATGTAGGGCCAGGCCAGTCTGGACCAAATCCACTCAATCAAGCTTTTACTTCAGAGATGCTCCAGCAGTTTAAAGCACAGATTGTTGCATACAAGCTACTTTCACGTAACCAGGCACTGCCAGACAACATACTTACTGCTGCTGTTGGTAAAAGAGGCATGCCAGGGAGTTTCCAGTCTCCTTCCCAAGGCCCACAGGCTAGTGGTCTAGTACAAATTCAAGGTGGGCAAAAGAGAGAGCCCACCCCAAAAGCATCACAAGTAAAAACACAAAGTGCTTTATCAACAGGTGAGTAACAGTTCAATATCAATTTTGGCTTTGTCAGCTGGCTGCACTTTTGAAAAGTTTGTTTATTGTTTTTTGATTTACAGCCTGTGTAGTAGTACAGTAATGAACAGAGGTTACAAAGTGAAATAAAAGAAATAAATAATTCACTCTGCCTATATTGGAGTATAAACTTTATTGGAAATCCTTGTTGTTCTCCAACATTTGATCTGCAAATCCAATGATATGTCTTCCTATCCTATTGTTCAAAATCCAGTAAATGAATATATCATGTTTTTGCTTCACGATTATATTCAGTTCAGAAGAAATAGTAGTATTATTTGAATTCTTGAATAAACTTTAAAGTCTCCTCATTATATTTTACATCAACTAGGTGGTGTGTCCAGCGGCAGCAGCACTCCAGTCAAATCTCCAGTCAGTGAATCAAGCAGAACGCCAACTCCTGTATCAACTACCTCACAGCCACCACCAAACGCTATTTCCAGCTCGACTGCAACAACAGTAGCAAAAACATCCACAGTTGCAACACCAGTTGCAGCTGCTACAGCAGCGGCAATACCAAGTAGCGATGCAACAGCAGCCATTGCCAATGCACTTCAAAAGAAACTGCCGGGTCTAAACAGCCCACCGAAGCCAAGACTTGCGCCAATACAAAAGCCAAAGGGAATAGATCCGATTGAAATACTTAGAGAAAAAGAGTACAGGTTTGTGTTTTTATTTTGGCTAGTGAGCTTAACTGGTATTTAGATGCTTGGAACCAATCTTAGAGGTAATAAATCTGAAAAATCGATCTTCAGTCAGTTCGAAACTTGATACATTTGTGTTGAAATTCAGCAGTAAACGCTTTTGAGATAATGTAGTGAATTTTTTCTGTTGAAATTATGTGTCGTTAAAAAAATCTGTCTTTGATGCGACATGAACAGAGTTGTATTTCAAAGTAATGCCTTTATCTTAGAATTCAATCGAGAATTGTAAACAGAATGCACCAGCTTGAAAATCTTCCTGGTTCCATTGCTGAGGATATGAGAAAGAAAGCACTGATCGAACTAAAGGCTTTGAGGCTTCTCAACTTTCAGAAACAGGTGATAAAATCTCTTTGCATTTTCAATGACCTTGCATTCAATTTTATTGATTTTCAGAATATTTCAAGCCACCTTGAGAGGGTTTGTAGTTTTTGTCAACATTTTTATGTAACAATAACGATCAATGTAAGTAAATTGTACCAGGAAAATTTTTTACTAAAATAAAAATTATTATTATTATTATATTATTATTATCATTAATAATTATTCTAATTTTAGAAAAAAAATTTCCTGGTACAATTTACTTACATTGATCGTTATTATAGCATCATATTGTACCGCACGCATTTTAGTATATTTTTATGTAACACTGTCTAACAAAGAATCCAGTAAGATTATTTTAATATTGGAGTGTAAGTCCATGTGATAAGTAAATTTTAAATGTTTATATGTGGTAGGACCAATAGCGTATATATAATTTTTGGTTCATGAAATAATGTTTTTTCTGGGTCTAATGTTGATATTACTAATTGCTTGATTCATTCAATGTCTTGTCTACCACCATAACAAACCAAAAGCCACATTATTGCTTTTTTACAGCTGAGGGGCGAGCTTTTGTCATCAATGAAGAAAGACACCACTTTGGAGACTGCTCTTAGCTCAAGAGCCTATAAAAGGAGTAAGAGACAGACCCTCAGGGAGGCAAGGTAAATTCGACAAGATTTTTGTGACTGTGACCCTTATGATCTTCATCTTGGTCGTCGAAATAATGCTTTGAGCGAATAGCGATACCCGAACGATCCCGGTTTCTGTCTGTAATCAGATGGTGACAGATCAAGGACAGGATCCTGGGTTACGCAAAAGCGTTTCGCCTATACTAATTTATTCTTCTGGTAACTATTCAGTATTGGCAGGAAAACTATTTGCTAGTATTGTGTGCTAGTCATAATTTAATTTCTGCAAATATTGTAGTTTTAATGAAAAGATTATTCTTGGGTCTTTCTTCCCAGTTGATCTAATTTTTGATGCCTTTATATTTAAAAAGTATATATATATATATTTATATATTTTTATAAATTACTGTTAAGCAATCTGTTATAAAGTGCTTGATGCCGTTTGGCAGAGTTGTACATGCTTGGTGTATAGAACAGAACGGTTTTAAGTTGCTACTCCGAGTTTCACCATCAATGCGATCATCAGGCAAATGTTTAAGTTACCTCAAAAGTATATTGTTCTATTGCATTTTTCCTGACTTTATTTTCTGGAAAATAGAATGACAGAAAGGCTGGAGAAGCAACAGAAAATGGAGCAAGAGAGAAAGAAGCGACAGAAGCACTTAGAGTTCCTCACAGCCGTCATGCAGCATGCAAAGGAATTCAGGGAGTACCATAAGTCGGTACAGTCACGTGTCAGCAAAGTGAACAAGATGGTGATGACGTATCATGCTAACTACGACAGAGAGAGGAAGAAGGAAGAAGAAAGGATGGAGAAAGAAAGAATGAGAAGACTTATGGTAGGTTGATTAACTTTGAAGACTTACCTGGATCTTAGGCTACACCTGGTGTTGTCCTTTTTTGTATAGTCTAGGCCAAGGCTCTGAGTCAAGGCTCTCCAAGGTGTGTTTTTTAAGGTGGACATAAATACTCTAAAGGTCGGAGAATTTCATGACTTCAGTTTTGTATACCGAAATATGCTAAAAATTTTTTTAAGTATATGCATAAGGTTTCAATGTACCTCAACTCATAGTAGAAATTCATTCCGAAATTGAGAAGAGATGCTCATTCCAAAGAGATCGAACAGGAAGGAATTGGTATAAAGTTCCAGTGCAGAGGGAAATCTAATGCAAAGAGCCCTCGTTGATAGTTTCAAGATGGTCTTAGTATTATTTTACCAGTATCGTAATTGAAAATTGTTCATCGTTTAATTAAGCCATCAAACATTATTTTAAAGCAGTGGTCTTGGCATTTTTTACAGCTTTTTTTTATATTTTCGGGGAATATGTTATGTAAAAGAAATCTTCTAAAATAATAGATTTAACATCACTGTTTCCTTAACACCACTCTCTTCTAAACACAAAACTTGTGTACATGACTGTAATTATGCTATTGAGGACGGTTTTGATCATGATGTGAAACACTTTAAAGTAATTTTCGCTTTTTGAATCACCCAATAGGCTGAAGATGAAGAAGGCTATCGTAAGCTGATTGATGAAAAGAAAGACAAGCGGTTGCACTACCTCTTGATGCAAACAGATGAGTACATCAAAAACCTGGTTTGTCTTGTCAATGAGCACAAGAAGATGCAAAGAAGGAAGAAGAAGTCTCCTAAGAAAGCAAAGAAGTTCTTTGAGTCTGAAGAAGGCGAGGAAGAAAGCGAGGAGAAACGAATAGCTGTTGTTGATACTGCCACTGGGCAAATCCTTACAGATGAAGATGCACCAAAGGCTTCTGATCTTGAACAGTGGCTGATTGATCACCCGGGGTTAGTCATTTGTTTATTAGTTTATATTCACTAGCCACTTTGCTCAAAACAAGTGACTTAAAATAGTTCTGGAAATAGTTTTGGTTGAACAAAGTCATAGAGATTCGTGAAAGACATCGTTTATTACCCTACCTGAGGGTAAAGTGGGGAAGTGACTTTCTTTTGCTCTATTGAAAGGCGATAGACTGTTATGTGAAGAGCATAAATAAACCAGGATATAGTTATATAAACTCCTTGACGTCTGACAATGGTTCTGAGTGCATCGCAAAAGAAAAGAGCAGCTATTATTTCTATGATTTGTGGTACTATACGCAAGAGTTTACCTCTAGAAGCTTGAAGTTGCTGCATCATCATTTATCCACATGAAATGATGTTCCACATAGTTACCTCTAGAAGCTTGAAATTTATCCACATAGTTGTCCACAGTTTTTGTTGTAAATTTAAAAGACAGTTGAAATTTTCCAGCACTGAAGGTTTTTAGAAGACCAAATGGTTGGCACTTTGTATTCCCAATGTCACTTTTATGCTCTCACAAAGAAACAAAGATAAAAGTTATCTTTGTTATGTGACTGTATTTTAAGTTGGGTTTCTATGTGGAAAATATCGTTAGAGCGGTAAATGAACTAGATTGTTGGCTTTAAAAACTTTTTGTGGGTAGTGGTAACAGATCTGAAAAATTATTTCAATTTCAAACTATTTCCTGTTAAGCTTTCTTTGTATGATACCAATGTTGATGTGGTAGTAGCATATCCAAGACTTTTTTTAAGAAACAACTCGAGATCGTTGTTGTGTTTCTACCTAATTACAGCTATTCGTGTGTTCCCTAATTGTAAATGGTCAGTATGTATTTTTTGTAGATACCAGATAGCACCAAGACTCGATGAGAGCTCTGATGAAGATGATGATGAGGAAGGAGAAGACAAAAGCAAAGAGGCACCTCCGAGCAGTACTGTCACTGAGATAAAAAAGGATGATTATGCCAATGATGATGATGACTACATTTTGTGAGTTTGAACTTCTCCCCCCCCCCCCACCCTTAAAAGTTTCTGTTCTCTCCATAGTTTTTACAGTTATAAGCCAAGAACCTCAATCAATTTGTATTGCTTTGTTTCTAAACGTTATAACAGAAAAAAAGTTTTACTTCAAAAATAAGCAGCCGAAGACAATTTTGATTGCAGTACGGCTATTAAATGTTGTAACTAAGTATAAAACCTTAGCGTACTTGTTAGATAAGGCTACGCTTTCTGTGCCACCTAGAAGACCCCTACTGAAAAGTTTGAAAAAAATTATCGGGGTGTCTGTAGTTTAAAGGGACGCTATATTAAAGCTTTAATGTCTTTACACATTTCTGTTTATGCTTTACGTGGAATTTTCCATCCAAAGTAACGATAAGACAGCTCTTGTTAAAGATTTGTTGCTGATAATTTGATTAGTCCGTAAGCTTATTCCTGTCGTAATCGAACAACCTTTTGCTTGGTGCAGGGCTGAGGAGAAAGAAAAGAAGAATGCAGGGCCTGACGATTTGATGAATTACTATGCGGCTGCTCACAGTGTTAAGGAGGAGATCACTGAGCAACCGGCACTGCTTATTGGTGGTAAATTGAAAGGTTATCAGGTATGTTGCTTAAAGGCTCTTGACCAACCGGCATGCATTGCGATTATATTTTCAAAACCGGCCTAATATCTTACTGCATGAAAAGACATTCATCCCATTTACTGCAAAGAAGCCGGTTGCTCAAGAGTCTTTAATGAAGTTATCACCCTCCCTTTTCTGACAGTATGAATCAGAGATTTTACATTCATCATCGTGTCATATACATTAGCCAACTCCCTTTATCTGACGCTTGCGGTTTTTTGCTTATTGTCACGAAATAAACTTTTCCTTTGTGTCTTTATCTGTAATCTATTTAAAATAATTTTTCTAAATGAGATTACTGAATATCTCATTTCTTTGTCTTGAGAAATGCATATCTAGGGTTATGGTCTTAAAACTACTTAGACTAGGTCTCAGTGCCTTGATACCCTTGAAAAATTCTTATGCTTCTAAATTATGTCCTTATAACGTTCCAGCTAAATGTTTTTTGTGTAATCTTTGGCATCTAAAAACGATCGCAGACTGCCAATTAAATCAGTCTGTGATAAGTATAGATGCAAGATCATTTTGTACTATGATAGCTGGCTTTTGAAGGGCTTGGCTCTAATGAATAGTCAGAGAAATGCAACAATACATTTGCACATAATTCTTCATTGGCTCTCCATAGGCCGTTAATTTTGCATTTACTACAAAACATTTATAGTTGTCTTAAGGCCAAAAAGATAAGAGTGAGCCAAAAAGAGTAGAGTGAGCCAAAAAGAGTAAAGTCTTTTATTTAAGCATTTTTTGACTTGCTTTTTATCCATTTTATTTTTATCCATTTTTAAAACGCTTTATCCGTTTCTTTGTCTTTTATCACTTCTTGGTGCTACTTTATTACTTCACCTCTTTCAATCTCCTTGGACTTTCCTGTTCTACTGGTTTCTATTTTTCACCCTCTGTTCGTTTTCCGCCCCTTAATTTGGTATTCTACTATACGCATCTTCAATATATATTTATCAATAAATTTTCCGTTTTCCTTATTTAGGCATCTCTGTATTGAGCTCTTTGTCGCTTTAACCTTAAGTTAGAAATTGTGCATCCTTTTTCCAACAGTGTTTTTTAGGTAACGATCAATGTAAGTAAATTGTACCAGGAAAAATTTCTTTTTCTAAAATAATTAACTCAAATAAAAATGAAATAAATCAAATAAATTTATATTTCTAAATTTATATTTATATTTATAAAATAATATTTCTAAATAAGTGTTTTTTAGGTAACAATAAAACATTGCTAAATTTTAAGCTGAAGCTTCAATTTCCTTTAGCAATTACTGGTATTATTTTTTAGTCTAGTAAGATCAATTAGGTTTTGTAGAACAATTTGCTATTATCATTACAATATTACTCTATCATCAGTCACTAAAGTTATACTGATGAAATTAAAGAAATGTGGGTAAACATCCCCAAAAGAACTATTATTATTGCTACAAAAGAACTGTTTTAAAATTTGCTGATTTTTTAAGTATTACGGGATGCAAGTTGATTGATGCTATATCGTGCTGAACGAAATGCTTAACTTTTGCCTCTTTTTTCTGCAGATGAGTGGCCTCGAGTGGCTTGTGTCTTTGCACAATAATAACCTTAATGGCATTCTGGCTGACGAAATGGGTCTTGGCAAAACCATCCAGACGATTGCATTGACTGCCTATCTCATTGAAGTGAAAAAGATCAACGGACCATTCCTTGTCATAGTTCCTCTATCGTAAGTATTTGACGGTCACTTCTTTTCATTCTGGCTTCTTGTTATTGCAGAGCAAACTCCTTTTAGTTACTAAAACTTTGATTTTTCTAAACTATATATCTTTTAGTATATATTTAATCTTGAAAGTATAGAAAAAAGGTTTCTCTTTCTTGTTTTGCTGTTTTGTTTGTGTATTTTCCACCATTTCTAATTCTCTCAACCTTTCATCTTTCATTTTATCTTCACAACTGTATTCATTTTATCTTTTTCTAGAACTGAGCTTTTCATGTTTGCACAAATTTCTGTTTTCCTTATGGGTTTGGTTTCAAAAAGATTTCGAAGCATTTGTTTATCGGGATTTTCATCAACGACTCAGCTTCGAATTTCTTAAAAAATTGCTGTCTTTCTTCTCACAGAATCCATTGTTTGTCTCCTTCCTGATGACGCATTTCGGTCACGTTGCCACCTGTAAAATGAGCTGTTGCTTTCGATCTTCTGCATCAAAATAATTTGATCTTTGCCAAATCTGACCCCGGTCATTTCAAACATCACGCAATCTTATATCATGGTTGTTCTTTTGGGACTTTTTAAGTGGTCCAGACTCGTAGTTGGTGAATAACGTTGAGTGGCTAACTCACGAATCATTTAATTAAAATTGTCCATGACGAGTGGAAAACTGCAGAAGTTAAAATTATATCTTCTCATGATTTGCCAATCCTTTCCAACTATGTTTAAAGTATAGTTGATTAGTCTGAAGTATTGTTTTGGTGATGCAGTAATGGCTCACATTTCTCGGTTATTTATGACCAGATTGTCTTTACAAAAACTCGGTTTGAAAAAAGATTTCGTTGAAAGATCATCTCTTATATTCAAATTTGATTTAACAATTTTATCTAATATTTTCTTATTCTTATGGTGGGTAATGGTGGGTGGCCAAAATATTAAACCCGGTTTTCTTATTTGGGTTAAAAGTAATTTTGCTGGCGTACATCTTAGAAATTAGTTATATTCAACTCACAATTTGACTGTCTCTTATTTGATACAAAGGTGTGTCTTTTAGCCTATTGATTGTCCCATGTAACCAGGGATTTTCGGCAACGAAATTAAATGCAGAGTATAATGAACCTAGATACAGTCATTTTGTCCTACACCCGATCGTATCATCATTTTTTATATCATAGCTATTTTTAATATATACCTTTTCAGATATGTTTCATAATCACTTAATGATAACAATGTCAGCTTTGCGTTGCATCTAAAAACAATCGCAGGCTGCCAATTAAATCGGTCTGTGATGAGTATAGATGCAAGATCATTTTGTGCTATGATAGCTGGCTTTTGAAGGGCTTGGCTCTACTGAATAGTCAGAGAAATGCAACAATACATCTTTATCATGATGCTCGTTTGTGAGGATAGCTCTATATTTATTTCATTTTATCCAGGGTAGCATGTTCATCATAATCTTGAATGAATACTTTTACTTTCTTAAAAGACGCAAGAGTGAATTTACTAAAAAGCTGAAAATTTCTCCACTGAGAAACCTGAAACCAGACGTGCACTATCTCTCGTTCAGTGAAAAGCCTTCTGTTCTATGGTTGTTGCGTGATGCCATATGTTGTTTACCATGATCTCTTGACATGAGACCGAGCATTCAGCTTGTTTCCACTTCTAATTCCGCCACAATTAAAGCTGTTTCTCTGCTATGACGTCAATAGGGGATATACACTTTTGTTTTCTTTCGCTGCATGTGCAGTAGAACATGGCTGGTCGGCAAGTTAAATAAGCCGCATTTTTTAATATTTATGAAGATAAATTGTATTTGAAAATTGAGGTAAACTATCCTTATTGAAATGAGAAATCTTTTGCTCGCAGCACATTTTATCTTCAATGTATAATAACAAAATGACGTATTTGCAAATCCAAATACCTTTCTTAAGGATGGTTTTGTATAGAGATCTTCACGTGGTCTGAAGAGGCTCTTCAACCCTCTTTCCCCAGCGCTACTTGGGAGCCATCTTATTTAGTTTTTTATATTGAAGATTCCTTCAAAACAATCTTTTATGTCTGCCAATTGTATTGTAAATTTGAGCAAGCATCTATCAGGTAGATTTGTAGGTACAGGAAACCTAGCTTATATTTACTTCGCTTAAAGCCACACTACCGTTTACTGTCTCCTAAAATTTAAGCCCAGCGATACAAAATTGTTTAATTTACAGTCAAACCCTGTTTACTGTCATAGCTTTTCAAACAAAATTTGGTGTCTACTATATGTTTTGTTGCAGAAAGCAGCTTCCTCTTTAAAGGCTATTCCAACAGCTTTAACGACCAGTAGTTGGTCTATGCAACCCTTAATGACACCCTTAAAAATATCACCGTTGCCGTTGCATTTCCAAGTGTTTGTATATCTGAGCTGCCAACACCTCAAGGCTCAAAATCTTAAAGTTGATTGCAAAAAATCAGAAAAATCTGTAGATTTAACAAATTGTCCCATTTAATTGTCAAATCCATATTAAAACATCATATATCATTTAACTGTTTAAGATTTAGAATGGCAGTTTGTTAAACATCTTAAGCAACTAAATGTATGCATTATGAAACGCAAGAAACAGACTCTGGTGATTTCTAACTGAGACTAAAACTCTAACTGAAAACGTAGCCTACAGCTTTTTAACCTTTAGATCAAGCGTGCTGTTTGCAATCTACCTTGTGAAAGGGACGCAACAGAATTCACGTTATTTCTCTCTCTCGATTTTTCGCTTCTTTCTGAATATGGCGAAGACAAAATCATTGATATCTCAAATATTGTTTTTGTCTGAATTTTTTGAAGTTTGATTTATGCAACCCTGATCTCATTTTAACTGTAATTTTATCGCAGGTAAACCGGTTTCTAGTTATTCGATCTGCGTCAAAGTCTAAGTGGAACATCTATTTAAGCAGAGCGAGCTCTTCAGGATAAAGTAGCCTTGGCCTTTCGCATGGGCTATTCAAGTTAGGATTAAAACATAGGCTTCTATTCAACTTCTGATTTGAATTACAGATACTGAGCACCGTTTGATCCGATTATATTTTTTACAGAACTATGTCTAATTGGGTTCTGGAGTTTGAAAAATGGGCCCCAAATATCATTGCAATTTGCTACAAGGTGAGATTTGATTTCCTATTGATTTATGGAAAAGTTTTTAATGAAAGTTTTTTAAAGTACTGAGAGGTATACACTCTCGTTTTTATCAAGTGCTGTACCAACTAAAGATGGATTTTCCTGTGGTAGTTGGCAGTTGAACGATTAAAAAGTTTTTTCTTTATGTAAAACGTTGTTGATGGCTTTAACTAAAAACAAATGTATCCTAAGTAAAATATATATGGCCTATCCAAGAATGATTTGACTAATGAAAAGTTCTCTGTATCAAAGTATTGTAACCTGTTAATACGATAATTTCATGCTTTATAATAATATTGATATAACTTGCCCCTCTCATGCCACTCTTGTATAAGCCCCTCTTGTATAAGCCCCTCTTGTATAAGCCCCTCTTGTATAAGCCCCCTTGCATAAGCCCCTCTCGTATAAGCCCCTACCCTTTGAGTAAAATTTGTTAATAAGTTTTCACTCTTGAATGAGCTCCTAACGTTTTCATTTTTTCAATGCATGCTTTTAAGTCATTTAAGTCCATATCTATTTGAAGAATTTTCATTTCTCGAAGTGAACTTCAAAGAAGTGAATAACGAAATATTAGAAATTTGAAACTTTTATAAGCCCCACCCTCGCTTTAGCACGTCTAAAATATATACTAAATTTTAAAGCCCGATAGGGCTTATTCAAGGATTTACAGTAATGGGAAATTGATTCATTCCAGAAAGGCAAAGCGTTTCCATCCCCAAAACTCCACTCCTGAATAACATTTCTAAGTTTTTCTTTGTGCTTTCTACTGGAAAATGTCTGATGTCAGCTAATGTTGCTTCTACGCTTCATCGCAGGGGTCTCCGGCAATGCGCAGAGACGTTGCTCAGCAGTTCAGATCCAACAAATTCAATGTTGTCCTTACTACCTACGAGTATGTGATGAAAGACAAAGCCATTATGTCTAAGGTAACATCATATTATTCCTCCTGCTATGCTCATTGTTTCACGTACGGAATCAAACATGGCTCTTCGGAAGCTCAGCAACCCTAATTTCATGAAAAAAGAGAGTCGTAGGCGGAAGGCAGAACAGGGCTGAATGATTCGAAATATATCGTGTCTTTATTTGACTTCCTTTGACCCTTCCCCCCTCTTACTCGCCATTGCTGTGAAAATTCAGAAGGTTCATAAAAGTCAGCTCATACTTAAGATGCCTTTTTAGGGTATAAGCTTTCAAACTGTTTGTGTTGTCTACCAACGATCCGCTACATGACGATCTATTTTTTAATCATGGCTCAATTTTAGTTAGTTCGGTGCCTTAGCGTAGAGCAAAATTTTCAGCTTACTTTTGGTCTTTATCCGACGTTTATACTCTGACGAGTGTGGGACGAAAAGTACTCCAGTATGCTATGTTTCGTGCCATCTTGAACTTTTGTGGTACCTAAAACGTAATCAAAATTTTTTATTGGTACAGTGCAGTCATATAGAAAAATTGATTGATACAGGTAGTATATTTGCTTAAGATGAAATAATAAAAATGTCAAATAATGAAAATGGACATTTTGCATTGAAACGAATAAACATATTCAGGGAGGTTTTGAATTGATGGAATTTATTGTCCAACAAAAAGAGTCAAAACTAATTCTTCTGCAGCCTTAAATATTTATAGTGATCAAATAGCCTGATAACAGAAGATTAGTTTTTCTTTGACAATACAGGCCGAACAATATAAGGAGTGTGTTCCAAACAATAAAATGTAGAACACATCAAAAGGCCATGCTTTAACACGACTTTTTATTAAGCAGCCACGTGGAACTTTAGAAGGAAAAAATCATCTAAATCAATGAGTTTATATCAGAGCATTGCGTTTATTGTATTTTGTGTCAAAAGCTCTAATAATTATTGGGCTATATTGTCAGTTATTTGGCCTTGCTTACCAAACACTTTAAGCTGGCGTTGTTGTTTTGTTTAAATAGGGATATTGTGAAGTTGTGTACGACAATATTCCGGCAGTAGATCGTCCTTGTACTTTTGTAACGCTCAGTCATGTCTGCTATCTGAGTCCTTCATAGAAAAACTTGGGTTTATATTTCACCCTTTCTCTTGCATTTACAACCAATACTTCTCTTTTTCTATCCTTGCTTTAGGGCGTCAGTGAAAACGATTTTATTGAGATTTTCTAGATTTATATTGGCTGTTGAGTATTGGTTTCACGTAACCTATTTGCAATATAGCTTTTTTGTTGCTACTGGTTTTCCAATCTGCTGACAGGAAACAAAAATTTTTTCAGTCCGAAATATAAACACGTTAAAAATTCAACGCAAATTATATCTAAATATAAAGTAGTCCCTTTGAAATACATCGTTATTAAAAAGGAAGTTGGCTGAATTTTGTGTTATTTCGCATCCTTTTTTTCAATTTTTTTTATTTCCCTTGTTTAATTTTTGTTCTTTTTCAACTTTTCTAAAAGCCTTTTGATTTCTTTGTAATTAACTGTTGAAAGGTCTTTAAGTTCATTTCTTTACAATTTCACTTAGATAAACCAAAGTCCAACTTTACTTCGACGCATTAGTTTCCCCCCCCCCCCTTAAACTCTTATCTACAAACATTACGATCATAAACTTCAGACTTCCCAACAGAATCTTCAACATAATCTTTTGCAAAGTCACTTGCTTGCCTCAGGTGGCACTATGAGAATAAGCGAATATTTTAGAGTTGGTATGTGCCCTTGATACCCCCTGTTTCGATTCTATGTATACAGGTACTTGATAGCACGATGGTATTGAAATGCCAGCATTTGCGTCACTAGCGGCTATTAGGATACTTTTGAATGAATTACATGTTTTGACAGCTACACAGAGTAAACAGTATCATGATAACGAATATCTTTCTCGATATTGAAATCTTGTAAGTTGATGACTAAAAAAGGAATTCTGAGGCATACTTTGTGTTGTGTTGCAAAATTAATCGGGTTCTTTAAGTTCCTGATCATTGTAAGCTAGCCCGCAATACAAAATGATCCTTGTTCTTAATAGGTGATTAGCTAGCTTGAACTTAATCGTATATGTCAAATTAGCTAAATTGGTTTAATTAACCTTTGCTAGTTATGTACTTCAAGCCCTCTCTTTAGAATTTTTTTATAATAAAAACAGCTTTGTTGACTTAAATTTCTGCTACAGGAATGGTTTGGACGTTTCCGCTTTTTTCACCTGGGCATCGCCGTAACCTTTTCTTTGGATTGGCCCATTTTTGTATTCCCAACCAAAAAGAATTTTTCCAACACAATGTGTCTTGCTATAAGCATAGAATACAGTGATTCACTTCTCATAAGTTGGGGAAAGGGCCAACTTCGCAATTTCGACGAAAGTCTGCCCTTACAGTTAGGTCAGCACATCGCATTCCTCTTTAAAGGCCTCAGTTAGACCATTCCGAGCCCTCTACGAGAAAGGCATAATTGTACATGAGTTGATTTAAATAAATGCAACCTTTGTTAAAAGTAAACAACATTTATCAACAGTTCCTCCATCTGTTTGACCACACGACTCTGATGTTTTGATTATTCGCCGCACGATCCTTGGGAAGTAGTGTAATCCTTGGAAAACGAGTTTCATTTCAAAGTGAAATCTTCCCATGCATCTTTAATACACATTCTCATTTAGTTTTCCTTATATAGAAAAATATGACTGCGTTTGCACAGCAGTTTTTTGCAATACAAACATCATTCTAGCTTTACATTTTGCATACAACAGAATTACTTTCGATAATTTTCATCAGAAAACACGGGTTTTGTATCCATGGTTGTTCGAAAAAAGTCTTAAGGGATTGTCTTATTTTGTGCTTCTGAAATAAATTAAAAAAGGCTATAATTTAATCTAGCAATTTAAATTTCATCTATTTATATTTTGATTTATTCTCTTTCTCGAGGTAATTCAGTAATGAAAATTATACCTCTGCAATACATACTTTTTTATAAGAATGCCTAATTCGTTTCTCAATTGATTTATTTTGAGCCTACGATTGTTCTTACGTCATTCTTAAGCGACATAAAGTATAACCAGGTTGCATTATAGTCTTAATGACTGCAAGGCCAGATACGTCTATTCAAAAAATATAGCCTGAAACTCACATTTGTTTTGCTTTCCAAAAAAACTCAAGTAAATAAAAGATTTAATTCTTGGTGAATCTTGAGCCTTGTATCATTCTTAAGTTATTCCTAAATTTCAATGATTTTGAGCCTCAATATTCTTAAATGAGATATTCTTATAATAAAAAATGTTTGTATCTTTGCAATCGCAATTTCGAACAAAGGTTGTCGTCTTTCACCCCTAGTCCCATTGCTGTGCAGTATTAATCGCTCTTTTTTAATTTAAAAGCATGTAGATCTGCTTTAATTTTCAAAATCCTCAGATTTTTTAGAAAAATCTAGCATTAGTTTTTCCAGAGCTGTAGAGTCACTCAGGATCGCGAGGTTTTTCATAGGCGACGATAGACACGACACAAAGGCAGTATTCTCAATTCAATTCTTTTTCTTACGTCATCCGAGAACTACTTTATATACACAACGGAACACAATTACAATACACGAACTGATAAGCTTATCTCAGATGTCATTGCTTAATGATACCTCAAATTTTGTTGCTAAGACGTTTGTTTAAGGCATCCGTTTGTGTTGTTTGCATCAATGTTTCAGATTGCACGAAAAACTTGAGCGACGAATGGCATCCTTTGGCAGTAGATCTGCTTTGTTACCTTCATCATTACATATTATTTGTATTCATGAGGCCTGATGGTATCGATGCAAGTATCGTTTAGCGTGGGTGTATTCGGCCAAAGTTGATTGACAACCTAGGTATTAACCCTAGGTTTGAAACATCTTAACCTGCTTGACCCACGAATTTTAAGGTTTGCCAGTCTATAGATATGTTTCTCATTGATACGTACGTATTTACAAAGGCAAATAATTCTACAATAGAGTCTCTTCTTAAAGATCCAAATTAATCATTGATAATCCAATGCTAATTAGTAATGCCTATATACTTTATAAAGTACACAAACAGTTCAATTTTTTTAACAGAAATGTGCTCTATACATCAAAACTTTAAACTTGTTGCTTTGATTCGTCCATTGTTGATTCGTCTGTTTGCAGATGCCTTCTGGCAACAAAACCTCTACAAATCGCTAAAATCAGTATCTACTAATAGTTTAAGTATAGATCAGTCCATGTCTCCAATTGTAAATCTTTTCCTATTTGCAAAGAACTTAGATTTATGAAAATGCAATTAACGGTCTAGGACAAACATTTTTAGTACAATCATGCACCATATAGACACATGGATACAAATTTCTTATCACCATTGGAATATTGATGTATTTTCTCTCCTCGGTTTCCATGCAAATTATAGTCAGCATCTCTTGTTCCATGTCCAACAACACAAAGAATGTCCTCGATTCCCTGTGAAACGTGGACAGTTTTCTCCTCGGTTTTGACTTGCTTCTTGGCGAATAGCCGACATTCACCGAGTCGAGGCTAAACATGCACGTGTGTTTGATGTCAATATCGAGTATCCTAGTCTTCGGTGACACTCCAATTGAGATATTTACACTCGTGCATGCCGACGTGAACTTTATCTTCCAGCCGTGTTTACCGCCAGAAAAGCATTGCGTTCCAAAAATAAGCGCTCCTGCCTGGTCGTTGCTTTCCAAAAGCGCCGAGGTTTCTTCTTTGTTCAGCACCCAGCCGTCATGGTTATCCAAACCAGGTAATCGCAGCACACCTTGCTCAAACGAAAGACTTTCCTTTGAAAATGCCTCGCAAGTGAAAGGACTTTCAATCAGCTCCAGCTTGTTCACAAAGACGCGAATCTTATGGTAACCTAGTACCATTGGTATATACTTGACTGTGTGTACCCCGCTATTTTTTGTGTTGATGAGAGCGGTTATAACCTGCCCGGCTGGTCCGTGTACAACCACCTTAACGTTGTCGTGCCCTGAGAATGTCTTTTTCATTGTATTATCACGTGTTACAACGTTAAATGAGGCTTCTTCCCCTATGAAGGAATAGGACAAACCAAGGCCCATAGCCTCAGAATGCACGCCAGATGCTAAACTTCCCTCAATTTTCCCAAATGCCCGCACTGTTTCGTAAACACTTGACTCGCATATCAGCCTTAGGTCGCCACACTGTAGTGGCCGTAAGTTTTCGACTGTCCGAGCATCGCGTTGTGTGTCCAGTATGGAGTCATCGTTTGATCTGTATCGATAATCGTCTCCTGAATTCTCCTTTGAAACATCCTTGCAGAACGATCTTGCATAGTTCCTTCGCTTGTTTCGCAAGCGGTTGATCTTCCTTTCCCTTTCAGCAGCAACCTCGACTAGCAACTCTTTCCTGCGTTCATTCAATGCCAAGATCAGCATATCAACTTCGTTGTTTATTGCAATGGAGGTGTTTTTTGCGTTTTCTTCAATGTGTTCCATCAGCGATTCCATAATGCCCTTATCCGGGTCTTCGTTGAAGACTTCGTCTCCTGGATCAAACTCAATCTCGAAGTTTTCCACCGAATCCAACTCCTTGTCTTCCTCTTCGGACTTCACCCTTGTAAGCACACTGCTTGCCTTCGATGAATGACTATGTGAACTGCAAACCACATCAGAATCGCTTGTTCTCTCGACAACTTCAAATTGTGAGGGTGATCGTCTTTGTTGAGGATACATGACTAGCCTCGAAGTTCTGTTTCTCTGAGTAGACTGCTATTCCTACGGGCCTAAAAGAAAACGAAAATTTTTAAAAAAAAATTGTAAATGATTTTTGAATTTAAGGCTTGTTACCCAGGCTTGGGTTGGCAGACAATGTTTATAGAAAATATAATCAAAGCTACCTAATTCCATTTACCATAATGCAAGAGCCATACAGAGGAATCTTTCAGCTGGCGTTTTAGCAAAGGAATCTTTCAGCTGGCCTTTTAGCTATCTTTTAATGCCAGTCGTGGTGCTGCTTTGTCATTTGCAAAATAATAGCCGATAGTTAAGCGAGCGTGCTGTTTCCTTTGTCAGAAAGTTGCTCATATGCGTGTCTTTTGACCTTTGACAAAATGAACTTTTATCTTAGATTAGGATCTCTTGAGGTTTTTTACAATAACACCGTCATAGAATTGCTTCTGTCTAGAGCTCAATAGCAGACGCTAGACACCACGAAGGGCAACGCAGACAAAGAACGCTTTTAGCCGAAGCTTGGAAGTAATCATTCAGGCTCCCCGATGTCCTCCCCCCGCTATTTGAGTGTCCCCGCAAAAATTGATAGTAAGAAATCATACGTAATAATTTTCGATAAACAGGGAAAATTTGCATTAAAGATGTATGCATGATTGCTTATAAGATTCAACGATAGTGAAAGAGACCAAACTTATTCGTTTTGTCTTTTTGAAAATTTAATTTTTGCTTATAGGTCAGGCCCTGGTCAAACGACGCCCCGAGTCTCATAGCCCTTTACAATAAATTTTATGTACTGCCCCCAAACCCCGATTTGTTTTTTTGGGGGGCCGCGAAAGATTGAAGATATAGTCCAGAGAAATGTTGAAGACTTTTCTGGACTCTGATTGGCTGTGTTGCCCTGCTTTAGAATGTGGCCCCAAAACGAGACATTTCAAATGGTTTGTATCAGCGAATCATACCTCCATAAACCTAGAGGTTTGATGTTGAGCTCAAATGCAAAATGTTTGACTTGGCTCGCATTGTGGTAACACCAAAACGGTTTTATATAAAGCAAGCGTAGTACTGCAAGTATCCAATTCAGGCATAAGTCTTTTGAAGTAGATAATACAAAAGCAGAAGCACTATACCACTGATTATCCCCCCGTAAACAATTGCACAAATATTTTGTTTAAATATTGTACATTCTGCCTGAATAACATTGAACAATTTAAACAAAAAAGAAATAATTGTATCATTGGTACGAGTAAGACGTCATCTGTAAGAGTTTTCTGCAAATTGAGGACGATCTATCAAGAGTATTTGCCAACCATAACATGAGCTTTATACCATAACATTATTAGAATACAGTTAAGTAAGAAATGAATAGAAGAAAAACGAGTTATATATGGCTGTTGGACCTGTTGCTTTTCTGAGACTTTGTATAAGTGTTTGTTAGATGAAAATGGATCCGTGTTTACGGAAACTTGCTTTATCAATAAAAGAATTGTTTAAAAGATAAATTAGCTCCCAAGATTGTCTGACGCAACTTCAACATACCGGCGGCAATACGAATCGCAGGCATATCGTTCGCATCGAAAAGATCACTCCTTCCAGATGGTAAACATGCGATCATTTTTTACTAAAAGTTTGGTCAAAGCTGCTAATATTGCAATGATGTAAAACAGAAAGTTACAAAAAGGTCTCATCAAACCTTTCTCAAACCCGATCATAGATAGAAAACCAAAATACAACAAATACGAATCATTCATTTTTGGTAGCGTACCTGCTTTAAACGATCGACCATGACCAGAACACCTCTCCGTAGACGCTCAGCTAATGAAGGACGGTGTGTCCAAGCACGGTACCGTGAAAAAAGGTTTATAGCATATAGACATGTTGTGGATCATTAATCACAATAATTGGCGACTGGTTATGACGACAAAATTGATCGATTATAATTATAAGCGTGGATTTCTGTAATGTAGGAAAGGTCCTCTGCCCTATTACTTATTAATCAATTTTCCCTGAAAACAAATAGCTATTGACTACCATGACATCAAAAGTGGTATCTTTTACCGGTTATCTTGAAATTTAATTGACAGCGTGGGCATGGCTTTGACATGTGAAGTTGCAGCAGTTCCACGTTAACTGATCCTAGACATACTTCGCCTTGCTCTTTGTATCGATAAAGCAGATCCAAGAGTTGATACTGCCTGATAGAAAACCATTTGCATACGCAGTGCTGTGCCTATGGTTCACACTGCTATCAGTACTATGGCCTTGGTTTTGGTCATGTTATGTTCACTTCACACCGGAGACTTTACCAGTTTGTTGTTGCGGGCTTAGGAAAACGACAGTTCGCCATTAACGGTGGGAAATTTGTGTGTGAAGAGAACGTAGAAGTGTTGCACCTTTGTTCAGGTTTTGGCAAGGTGGCAAAGCAGGTTGCCTGTTGATTTTGGCAGAATAGAACAGAGAAGCAACAGAGAATCGAAAATTTCTTCCTTTGAAGAGCCTCGACCAGAGCTTGCTTGAATTTCGGGTTTTTTATGTTGGTGGGAAACTGTGCATTCTATCATTAGACTTGTATCGAATTTACACTACTATCTGTTGTTTTAAAGTTTTATAGTTCCCCAAATACCGGCGATCTACTCTGAATATTTATCAAATTTGTTTTGCTTTGTAAAAACGAAACGAATGCTCTATGGTACGTTCCAAGTGCTCAGTTTTCCCCGGAAATCTCAGCTTTGTGGCCTAAATGAGAATTGACGCAAAAAATCTTCTTTATTTAACATGTCTAGGTGTCAATTTGCCATTTGTCTTAGACGTGAAATATCCAGCGATAGCCGTCAACTTTCGCATCACATCTGTTTTACTTTGGTAGCAGGAACTACTGAAAGTGCTTAATATTTTAAGAATGTCATAAGATTGATCTTAATTAGCTTTAATCTAATACAGCACAATTTTTCTACCTTACTGTTCCGTCAAGGCTAAAAAACACTGTCAGAACCCTGTTAAGATCATTAAGCTACAACAAGAAAAATCAGAAGCCTTCTTTTTATGTTTGGAAACGATTTTTAGAAGAAAAGGTGCCTTTGATGTACGCTTAGCAAGGGCGCCACTTTCTCCCAATAAATTATTCTCATATGCATAACAGAATCATCAGCAGCTCCAACGTGAAACCCATTGTATTTTGGAACCATGAAAAACTGTTTTTGAAAATTTTAAAGTTCTGCTATTTCTATATTCGTTTAAATTTCTGTTGGTTGTTTTGGTGGCTAAACCATGTGATCATGTAGCCTCGTTTTCCCCCAGCTTGGTGTATCGTTGGCACCGAGGGGCGATTCACACTTGCAAATAGCGTACGAGATTTTGCCTAAAACAAAATGATTTTGGGGGATTTTCAGATAAAACATTAGGATCTTCACGAAAGGTGTACGAGGTTTTCTTAGAGTGATTTGCCCCTCGGCTGGCACTGTACGTAAACACTGCCTTTAGCTGTAAAATCGTAGATAACTGAATTTCATGTCTTAGACAACTTTATGTCATGAGTGGAAGGACCATAGGGCTAAAACACAAAGAAGGCAAAATAGAAGTTCAATATATGTTAAAGTGGCTACAATGTCAGATAAAAAGTAGTACAATGTCTATTCCACTGCTATCGTCTGATGTAATGTAGTATTCTTTGGCATCTTCATATAGGGCCCGGATTTATGTGGTTGACCCACACAATGAGTTTTGACTGCCAATGAATGCAACTGGTGTCTTAATTCTTGATTGTTTGCAGTGATAAAAGTATTCAAAATTGATAAGTTTGTTAGAGTTTTTGCTTTAAGTAGTACAAGCCCTTCAACATTTTCAGCCTTCTACTTCTACATGTAGGTTCCTTAAATGGTTCCTTGTATAAAAGTGTGTAGTGTGAAATGGCTTTGTATGGGGAGGAGATATGTTACGACGAGACTTAAACGACGCTTTATTCTCATTTGCTTTGTAAAATATACAAACCAATATTGCGTGTTTAGGTACAAACCCCTTGAGGGTTTAGTACAAGACAACATAGCCGCCCTTTTAGTGTCTGGTTGTTACGTATGGGCAGCATAGGTGGATTCACGATGTCTGACAGGAATACAGGATGTGCACGCAATGGTCTAAGCCTCGTAGTGCCCACATTGAATAGCTTTTGTCTAACTACTAGGCCTGCAATATTCTGATATTCCAACACCCAAATTGTTATAGTTATTCAACAAATTCTGATTTACTCGGAAAAATGCTTTTTAGATTTTGCATAAGTTTACTCTCTAGTATCTACATTTGTTGCTTTTAATGAAATGACCACTTTGAGATCACAATAAAATTGCATGACCAGTGATTTTAAACTCAGGTTGGAACATGGAAGATAAAATCGCGGAAAAATTTTTCAATTCGTAAGAGTAAGTCCGATACATCACAGAATTATAGAATGCAACACTTAATTTATACCATTTGGTTGCAGGTGGTTGCTATCAAAAAATGTTTGCTAAGTTAGTTTGCTTATGCAACCAACCTCTCCCTTATGTTTGAGCGTATATTGTATGGAATGATATTTCGTTTGATCATCTTTTTCGCATAAGTAAAAGATGTAACACCTAGCTCGCTAATGACATGAAATTGTTTGATTATAAAACAGATTTGAAGAAACTGGAATGAGTAGGATTCCTCATCTTCAGGTAGTTCAAAGATCGATACAGATAAGAAGTCTTGCACCTTATTAACCTGTGAAATCTCCAGGTACTATTCAAAAACAGACATCCCATTCGAAGTTTAAAATGGTATAAAATATCTATCTTTACTGTTACGCCATCAGAGTTCGGCCTAAAGCTGTTATTCGCATCAAGCGAGGAGAGTGTTTTTCACTATGCGTAAACAAAAATATAAACCTGCCATGGATTAGCAGATTCGTTCGTATACGCCTCTTGTCCATGTTAGTGTTTGCTGGGATTAAATTAAATAGTGATATTGAATTGGTAGTTTTTTAAAATTGTGCTGGGTGTTACAATATGTTGCATTTGTACTGCATTGAAGTTCGTGCGCCGTCCCAGTCTTAGCTCGCTCTCATCGCCCAGTTAAGCATGCTCACATTTAATGTAGGCTGGTCTTAATTAAGTTTTCAAAAAATCTCCCAAGCACACGGCAGATTAGATATTAAGCAATTAATTTTGGTGTTATTTGTATTTAAACACAAACAATACCGAGGTCCCTGCCCTGTTTGCTTGCTTGTGGCACCCTCCATCACATGGTATCAGCCGTATTCGAACTACACGTGGTTGTCGTAAACCAAAACAAAGCATTTCACACAACTTAAGCAAAACTTACCTTATATCGTTGTAGCAAACACAGATCTAAGCACGTCTTTTTCGGCCTTTAAGAGCATGTATTATTATATCAATATAAGTATATTGATTGGCTTTCTAAAAACTACACTAAGCAGCGCCCATATAATAGCAACCAGTCGACCAAGCCCACTGCAAGTGTTTTGCATTTCTAAAGTTCTGTGTATGTTTTTAAGATCTTCTGTGACGTCAGACAGACAGCTCATTATGATTTCGGTCAGAAGGTCAATAAGAATCCCGTAGTTCAAGACGGATGAACGATGGAACCCCCGTCAAACACAAAATCCCAACATTGAAGACGGGTGAAAGATTAAACCCCGTCATATTGAAGCATAGCTCTGGGCTTTATTTTACGCTGGTTCAGGGCCCCGACACGAATTTCAAGGTAGAGGGCCAAGTTAAAAAAGTTGAACTTTAATTTAGTGCTTCAAAACAAGGCCTCTTTGGAAAAATTATTGTTTACCAAAAAAGTGGGGTCATGGCCTTCCGTCGCCCCCCCC